AGTGGTTGGTGGATTTGAACTGCCAACCTTCTGGTTAGCAGTCAGACACCTTAGGCACTACACCAATATCCACTACCTGTTCGCTGGTCATCGTACTGTGGTGGTTTGCATGTTGCTGTGATGCTGGAAGCTGTCACCAGTATTTCAAATACCAGCAAGGTCATCCACAATGGACAGGTTTCAACAGCACTTCCAGACTAACATGGATGAAGAAGAAAGTCCTGGTGATTTTTTTTTCCCCAAAACATAGCCAATAAAAACCCTATGAATCACAGCTGATACAGTTCTGGAAGATGAGGCCCCTAGGGTGAACTCAAAATACAATGGCTGCAACAACCATGAAGATGAGGTAGGACCAGACAACATTTTGTTCTGCTATACATGGAGTATCCACAAGTTGGAGCCAACTCAGTGGCAACTAACAATAACAACACGCCGTTAATATAATCTTTGCTCAGAGTTGCTTCATTTTGTTGAAAACTTTAACTGTGTCTTCAACACTTAAAGACTTAATTCCACTGCTTACTGTTTGGGATTGAGAAGCATGTACTAGTCTAAAACGTCAAGGTCCTAAGCTTTGGAATTCTGTTTCCTTTCATTTCTGGTTATAAACCAGGCAGATCTTTCCAGAGTTTATCTGTTTATTATAGTACCTTGCCAAATAGAATCAATTACAACAGACACATTACTAAGGTACTGTTTTACAAAATTTTCCTCTAGAGGTGCTATCTCAGGAGGCTTATTGGCTACCACAGAATTCTTGCAGGTAATACTTTTACCACTGCGTGACACAGATCAAGACTTCCCAGGCCTTCTCATGTAAGTTTCCTTGTTGTCTACCACATGATCAGTAAGACAGTACCAAGTTCTATAATACTCAAGATAAGTAGCATTAATGTGATAACCCATAAAGCTAAGATGACACCATAGAGGTTTATTTCTCATTGCACATCCAATGCTGCTTAAGAAACTCTCCTTGGAGGATCTCTGAGATTCAAGATCATTTCATCTTGTGATGCCACCACTACTTCAATGAGTATCCTCTATGGTAGCCATGGAAGGGGAAGAGAAAATTCAGGAGGTTTTATATCTGTGCCTGAAAGCAGTGTACATTACTTCTGCCTCTGTTCCATCAGCCTAAATCAACTAATCTGATCCCAACATATCTTCCACTGAGGCAAAAAACAACAACAGCATAGCTTTCTTTGTGTCTGGGAAAAGGGAAAGGGGATGATAGACTATCTAGCCAGTCTCTTTTCCATCTTATGTCTTTCTGTGCTGCATTCAGGATAATTTCTTCTGACCTATCATCAGTTCACTAATTCTTTAAACTGTGCCTAATCTAACATGACTGTCCCATAGAGTTTTTTACTTTAAGTATTATATTTTTCATTTCTAGAGTTCCATTTAGTTCCATTTTCCAAAACTTTTCGGTTGTTATTTATAGTTTATTGTTCTCTGCACATACCTTCAAGTTTATCTTTTTCATAAAAGCATTGTATACCGGATTATACTGTAGCCTATGGCTGATCATTTTATTATCTGAAGAGCTTGCATATCTGATTCTGCAACTATACTTCCTCCTGAATCTCACTCATGGTGCCTCATTCTTTCTGTGTTCGTTTTTACTGCAATTCTGATACTTTTTGTGGGAATTTTGAGGCCTTAGATGAAGGCAAGTTCTGCCAGAGAACATTTGCTTTTGCTCTGCAAAGTACCCTGTATTACTGTCAGCTTGGGATCGCTCTGAATAAAATTCTCAGTTTGAAATACCTAGGTAGTGTGAATTCCAGCTGACATCCTGTGCAAGTACCACTTTGTGATTCCTGTTTCTCGGTGTCAAATTTTCTCCCTCCACTTGAACCAGAAAGTTAATTTTTCTTACATTCTCCTGGATTTATTTCCAGTTTACCCTTGTTGTTGTTGTTGTTGTTATGTGCCATCGAGTCGGCCCTGACTCTTAGCGACCCATCCTTGGGTTTCCGAGGCAGTATCACTACAGGAGTAGATTGCCCTACCCTCCTTCCGAGGAGTGGCTGGTGGGTTTGAACTGCCAGCCTTCTGGTTAGCAGTCAAGTGCCTTAGGCACTATGCTACCAGAGCTCCTAGTTTACCTTACATAGAGAGTATTGCTCCTTAGGATCCAGTCTTGGAGGAAGTGACTCCTGTAGAAAGTTTACTCTCTACCTTAGACAGAACCTCGGTCATGTTTCCTTTCCCCGTGCCTCTTGAGACCACTAAAACCTAAAGTCAGATTCACTAAGGTTTGCAAATGTCTTGAGGGAAAAAACTGGCTTCACCATTATATTTATCACTCTGAAGTCCTATCTTTATTTAATTTCATCTTGAAGAATTGTTTACTTTATTGATATATCATCAGTACATTTAAGATCTTATTATCCAGCATTTTTTGTTATTTTCAATGAAAAGGGGATCCAAGTTCAGAGTCCAACATAGTACCATGCCTCTCGTATTTTTCAACAAGTCAAGACCCATTTTGTCACCAAGTAATGGCCTCTGCAAGAGGATAGGAGCAATATTAAATTTAGTTTTCATCCCATTATGGAGATAAATCATCCTCATGAAAGTATGGAAAAGTTAAAATCTAAGATTAGAAATTGACTTCAAGTGCTACTATCCAAATACATTCACTGTTACCAATCTTGGTTTGCAGCATTTTTTTTTCTAAACAGAACTTTTTATACAAATTCTGAAATTAATTAGAGAAATTTTTCATTAAATGTAAAGGAATCTCCAGCAGCTAAAAGTAATTAGTTATAAATATTATGGAATAATATAAAGAAATGCTTTTGCTATAATGCTAAACTGAGCAGAGATTATAGAGAGCAATTGGTTAGAGTAGACTGGAGAGTCTTGGAAAACATGGACGTAGGTGGGGCTGCTCTCCCGGACCCCTCAGCAAAAGCCAGGCAGGTTGTTTGGCACTGTAGCCTAAGCTGTAAATGTCTGCCAGCTGACTGGCTGATAGTAGGGCCCCTAAGCCCAAATATTTCTCTGTAACAGCAAGCAGAGAGACTCTACTTCCTTGCTCTTTATAAAGACAACGAAAGAATGAATAGGGAATGACTGGATTCATGTCTGGGAAAAGGAAAAAGGGAAAAACTCAATTTGGTTAGGGTTTAGCATAAGCCTAATTATGGACAGGGAGCAATAACTGTTATCTAAGGGGATTCTGGTAGCATAGTGCCTAAGGCACTTGACTGCTAACCAGAAGGCTGGAGGTTCAAACCCACCAGCCACTCCTTGGAAGGAAGGTTGGGCAATCTACTTCTGTAGTGATACTGCCTCAGAAACTTAAGGAGGGGAGGGGTTGCTATGAGTTGGGTCCAACTTGATTGCACATAACAATGACAACAACTTCTGATTCTGATGTTAATTTCCACATTCTCCCCACTAACTAAGGAATCAATGGTAACTTTTAGCCAGATACAATTAAGAGTGAGTGTCCTGGTCTTTTAGCTCAGATCCCAGTGAGCATTTCTCTTTGTCCCTCACTGTCCTCAGCCATGCCTTACATGACTCTCTGGTGTGGTGGATGGCTGTTTTACTTCCAGTCTCTGCTTTCACACTGCCCAGAGTTTATGGTGAGAATGGAGACTTTTATCAATTGGATTGCTAAGGGAATTTTGCATTTCCCCAATACCTTCTACAAAAGGGCTCAGTCTAGTTCTTAATACTTAATTTTTTATGTTTATCAGCTGCTTCTATGTCCAAGCCAGAGTTGGTGTTTAAAGCTCTGCCTACAGTATAAGGAGAGTAGCTTCCATATTGTGTCTAAGGTAAACGTGGATAACAACTCCCCATCATATAGAGAAATGTACTTCCTGTATAAGAGGATTAAGCCTCCTCTCTTGCAATTTACTCGATGTCATGTGGGTGATAAGACTGGTGCTGCACAACTTTGTTCAACATGCATCCTAGCACCTAGGCCAGAGGCAGGCACTGAGTAGTTGATTCAGAAATACTTGTTAACTGACTTGCTGCTTATTGAGGTCAGATAGATCTTTCTAACTATTAGAGAGCCACCCAAATGTATTTTTATACACCACATCAGAGGCAGTTGTGGTTTAGTGGTAAAATTGCCACTTTTCATATGGGAGAACTCAGTTTGATTCCTGGCCAGTTCACCTCTTTGAAATCACCACCAGTCTGTCAGAGGAGGCTTTCACGTTGCTATGATGTTTACTAGGTTTCAGCCAAGCTTCCAGACTAAGATAAACCAGAAGGAAAGACCTGGAGATCTGCTTCCTAAAATCAGCTGTGAGAACTGTAGATCACAATGGTACAGTCCCATCATGCCATGAGTCAGGGGTGACTTGACAGCAGTAATAACAACACATACCACAGCACAATTCTTTTTCTTTCTCATGAGATTTAATACTTCTGAGTCTACTTCATATACTGCTACCACAGTGCCAAGCACATGTGTGGCTTGTACTCAGTAAGATGAGTAGGTTGGTCGACTGATTAAAGGAAGATACAAATGTAGGTCCATGAAATCATAGACAAATGCAATTTCAGAGCTGGTGGGGGCAATCAATGTTGTCCACTGCCCCCACAGTGAGAAGTGTCCTAATAGATGTTTAGTAGCCAATACCTACCAACTACAGGAAATCATACCCTACAGGTCAAAAATGGACCTGTTCTCCATTATCGGTGAGCTCCATCACACCCTACTTCATAGAAGGCCAGTTCTTTTCCTCTCTGACCTTCTGGAGAGGTCAGAACTGTGGCTATAGAACAGAGTAAAGATAATACTTTACTCTGTGACTTTACCACAGTGATGAAGTACCTTAATACTTAGGGATCACAAAAAACCAAATCATCTTTTTTAGTCTTTGAAGCGGAGACTAGGGATAACGCTGTCTCATGGTATAAACTGCCTGCACTTTTCCCAAACTTCGGTTTCTGGCCAAGACTTCAGACAAAAGGTGATGAGAATAGCTACCAGGACCTAACAAGTCTCTGTTTCTCTGCAGCTGCGGGTCTTCAAGCTGGCCAAGTCCTGGCCAACCTTAAACACGCTCATTAAGATCATCGGAAACTCAGTAGGGGCACTGGGGAACCTCACCATCATCCTGGCCATTATTGTCTTTGTCTTCGCTCTGGTTGGCAAGCAGCTTCTCAGGGACGATTATTACAAAAACCGTCACAAAATCTCCGCAGCTGGTGAAGACTGGCCCCGCTGGCACATGTATGACTTCTTCCACTCCTTCCTTGTCATATTCCGGATCCTTTGTGGGGAGTGGATCGAGAACATGTGGGCCTGCATGGAAATCAGTTCAAGATACATATGCCTCATCCTTTTCTTGATGGTGATGGTGCTGGGGAACCTGGTGGTGAGTGGTGAGCTGCACTGAGGACCCTGTCTCATGGGCAATGTGGCAGTCTCTGGGATATACTAAAAAATCTTAGACATTGCACATGTTATGTCTAGATTGTCCTCCCTCCTCTTCAGTCTTCAAACTTTTCAAAATAACATGGGATCCATTGAAAGGGTCAGCCTGAATTGTTGGAATGAGCATATATAATAGAGACGAAAGACCCATTTAGAATCCCAGCTCCACCATTTACCAGCTGGGTGACCCAGGGCAAGAGATTTAATCTCTCTGAGCTCTAATTTCCTTAGAATCAAGAAAATAGTGCTTACTCACAGGCTTACTGGGAAAATTAAATTACAGGAGATGACATATGCAAATTGCCTAGTGCTGTGTCTAGGCGATGGCAGGAACTCAATAAATGGTAGTTATCAGTTGTTGAAGGAAAAATTTTCTTCCTTGCTGTAGGGGGTTTCAGAAGATATTTTTCCTCAAAGGAGCAAGAGCTAGCTGATTTCTCCAAGCTACACAGGTTCAAGCTAGGAACAGGAACAGATGTTATTAGACAAGGCAAAAGAGAGAACCCAGGTCATGAACAACATCACAGGCCACAATAATAATAACAAAATCCCATTCTCACCCCCAGGTTTAGGAGATCTCTCTGGAGGCCTTCCTGCCTATTAGTCATCCTTTCCTTCTCTGTCCCAGCCTAGCTCCTCACCCACAGATCATCTGCACCCACTCTCATCCTGGATGCCTCTGCTCTCCCAGCAATGGCTGGCTGTGTGGTGAGATGTGGTCTTCCAGAGGCCCCTTGCTTGTTGCCCTGGGAGTCAACCAACTTCAAACCGCAGTGGGGAGCCCTGGAAGAGTCTTAACTCCCAGAGGCCCCAGGGATGAACACAGTGGCTTCATTATCAATCCCAACTTCATCACCAAACCTAGCATGTGGGTCTCTGTGCTCCTTGCTGGAGGTGAATCTGTTGGTGACTTGGAAGATGAGGAGGAGAAGGAGGATGCTCAGAGCTCCAGATAGGAAGTACCCCTCAAAAGGGCAGTTCTTTTTCTCATAAGAGTTTTATAGACAGGAGAAAGCTAAACCATGAAAGGAGATGAAATAATGAGTTTGGACTCTGAAGTCCTTCCCAACATGGTCTCTGAGCTGGAGATGCCTTCTGCCTACATTCCCAAGTGAGGACTGTCTAAAACTCCCACTCTCCATGCTCTGCGTTTTTGTTCTAGGCTGAACTCACCATCCCTGCAGACACAGGGTCCCAACCCTCAGGCTGAAGGTCTACCTCTCTTAGCACTTTTACATCCTTCGTGTCTGAAACCACCCTGAAAAGTAGAAAGCCCCCACTCCCTGCTTACAGACGAGAAACATGATGGTGGAAGCAGTGAGGAGATATGCCCAGGATTCCAGAATAAAGAATAGAATCCAGGGCTTTGGCAGATGATGGTGATCCCAGGCAGACCTGAGCCTGTTCCTCTCTGTTTCCCCTATGTTTCCTGGAGCTCAGCAGAGTGATTCTCCTCTGTGACGCAAAATGTACTTCCAAGCCTTCTCCACATGAAGCAGGTCACTTTGGGACATCCCCAAGACTTCTTGAGCTATTCTCAGAATGTCTGGCCTCCCCAAGAGGGAAAGCACTCTGAGTGGGCAGGAGAAGCCCAGGCTGTGACTATCCTGTCATCTAGCTGGTGGGCAGTGGTGGGGGGTTCAGCCTCCTGATGGATTTCTTTCCCTCCCATTCCTTCTTTTCAGGTACTCAACCTGTTCATCGCCTTGCTGCTCAACTCTTTCAGTGCTGACAACCTCACAGCCCCAGAAGACGATGGGGAAGTGAACAACTTGCAGTTGGCACTGGCACGGATTCAGGCATTTGGCCGTCGGACCAAGCAAGCCCTCTGTAACTTCTTCCACAGGCCCTGCCTGCTCCCCTGGCCCAAGGCAAAACCCCAGCTGGTGGTGAAACTCCCACTTTCCAGTTCCAGAGTTGATGGTGCAGTGGGGAGCCCTGGAGGGGTCCCAGCACCCAGAGGGCCCAAGGATGAACATAGTGACTTCATCACCAATCCCAATGTGTGGGTCTCTGTGCCCATTGCTGAAGGTGAATCTGATCTTGATGACTTGGAGGATGATGATGGAGAGGATGCTCAGAGTTCCAGACAAGAAGTGGTCCCCAAAGCTCAGGTAAGAGTTTCCCCATGGGACAGCCACAGGAAGCAGGGAAGCACCTCAGGGTTAGTTAGAGTGACCCTGGGCAGGAGGGAAATTTTGGTAAAGTGGTTGTCCAACATCAGGGGTGGTGGCATAGGTTTGAAGAGGCCCTGGCAAGCCAGGCATGAAAAAAAAAAAAAAAAAACCAACTCACTGCCGTTGAGTCAGTCCCGACTCACAGCAATCCCTCCTTGGGTTTCTGAGGCAGTATCTCTAAGGAAATAGATTGCCCAACCTTCCTTTTGAGGAGTGGCTGGTGGATTTGAACCTTAGGCACTACATCAGCAGAGCTCCTAAGCCAGGAATGTTGTTGTTGTTGTTGTTATGTGCCATGAAGTCAGCCCGACTCATAGCAACCCCTCCTTGGATTTCCGAGGCAGTATCACTACAGAAGTAGATTGCCCAACCTTCCTTCTGAGGAGTGGCTGGTGGGTTTGAACCGCCAGCCTTCTGGTTAGCAGTCAAGTCCCTTAGGCACTATGCTACCATAGCTCCTAAGCCAGGCATAGGTGACATTAATATAAGGAAATGTGCATAATGCCAAACATTCTGAAGAAAATCATGTTTCAGCTGCCCCTGGAAGAAAGAGTCAGAATTCCCAAGACAAACAGGGAAGGTCAGAGATTGAGCCCCAGGCCATTTTGATATGCTTAGGGGTCCTCTTTCACACAGCTGCCCTGTTCTCTTTACCTAACCCAGGCCCTGTGCATGAGATGCTAATGGGATTCATCTAAGAATAGGGATTTGTCCAAGAGCAAGGCTCATCTAATCTTCACCAGCACTCTCAGAAGTCCTGGTTTTTAGGTCACTCATTGTAACCTTTCCCTACAAGTGATGCCATGGAGAAGTAAAATGTGTCCCTTTTGGCACTAAAAAATCTAATGCACATTTAAACCATTTAGTAATATATATTTTTAAACACTTTGCACAGTCCCATACCACATTAAGCTGATCTATCAGCCCTCCTTAACCTTTCCTCGGTGATTCAGAGTGTGTACCTCTGCACAAGGTGGAGAGGGAGGGATCCCTGTGGGCCAGGCAGGGCGGCTGGCCAGGCCACTAAGTGGCCCCAGACAGCTGTGCTTTCAGTCTGCAGCTCTTCCATAACCTCTTCCCCTGCAGCTGTTACTTTTATGTTCCAGCAGCTGCCCTTATCAGCTGCCATATTTTATATGCCTTTGTCTGGGTGACAGCCAAGGGCATGGTGTCACCATCCCCAGAGTAAAGGACACGAACATAGTGATGGCTTTCTACCACTTAGAGACCTGTTCAGTTGCTTTGGGGTCCTTGGGAGGTTCCAGATGGCCAAGTTCACTATCACTCTGACAAGTAATAATGATTCGGGCTAACATCTATTGAGCCAAGCACTTTATGCAGAGTGTTCTTACAAGTAATAACATAGTCATCACAATAACCAAATGAAGTAGGTTTTGCCTTCTCAGTTTTGCAGATGGAGAAGATGAAGGTCAGAGACATTAAATAACCTGCCTATTGTCACACCACTTATAAATAATAGAGACAAAAGTCAAATCCAAATCTATCTGTAGAATAGATCTGGCTGTAGAATTTCATGCTCACTTCACAGAAGTACATAGTGTATGTGAGTTGCATATATTAGGGCCTTGGCTCTGCCAGTCTGTGATATACAAGATCTCTCTAAATTTAGAAATAATCAGCTGTGTGTGAGTCCAAGCACCCAACTGGGACTCTTTTACTAGCAGGAGCAGCTGCAACAAGTCAGGAGGTGTGAGGACCACCTGGTACCTAGGAGCCCAGGCTCTGGGATGTCCTCTGAGGACCTGACTCTGTACCTGGGAGAGAACTGGAAAGACAGGGCCACTCACCAGGACCCTGCACAGGTAGGTATGTGAGCTTCCTAGAGAGGTTGAACAGCCAGCCATACCCTGACCAGGGGATAGTAGGGCTGGCAGGATGGAGGGGAGCACATTCCAGACTATACTGGACTGGGTAACCTCATTTCACATCCTGGGAATATCCAAGTATCTTCCCAGCCTCTGGACTGCTTAGCACAATTTCAGCCTACACCACGTCATTGCCATCACCTCGCCCCAGATGTTGTAGGAATGGCAGGAAAGAGTGAAGCTGTGGGGCCTGCAGCCAGTTCCTTAACTTCTCTGAGCCTCTGTTTATCTATGAAACTGAATGATAATACCTATTTGGTAGGATTATCTTGAAGCCCCAATGAGATGCTGCTTATCAAATGTTTAGCGCCTGCCTGAAAAAGACTAAGTGCCCAGAAGATGACAGCTAAGAAAAAAAGGAAACAAAAGACAATACACAAAGAAAGTTAAATATCTTTCAAAGGCAGCAGATGAAAGTTGGAGTTGCTTGTGGGTGAGGAAGTCTTCCCTGTGACTCTCCTCCGCTTTCTTTTGTCCACATCACATTCTCTAGCCAAAACCACACCATGCTGTCTATGGGTGAGTCGTGAACTGACAGCCTTACAAAGACCAAGCAAGAGATTTTGGACTTATGAGTGTCTTATAAGAAGTAAAAATAAACCTGTGGTTTCACTTACAAATCTTTGAAGAAAATAAGCTGTAAGAAAAGAGGTAACTCAAGATTTAAAATCTTGAATGCTGTTTCTGTGTGCCATCAAGTCAATAATGACTCACAGTGACCACAGGTGACAGAACTGCTCCACAGAGTTTTCTAGGCTGTAATTTTTGTGGATTGCCGGATTTTTTCTTCTGTGGGGCTGCTGGGTGGATTCAAACCACTAATCTTTTGGTTAGCAGCTGAGTGCTTAACAGTTGTGCCACCAGAGCTTCCTCTTGAGTGCTTTGTATTAAATTTAAGAACTTGATTTGATACCTGGCCACTGAGTGATGACTCTGTAACAGGCACTGGACTAGGCAAAGATAAACCAAAAGCTAAACCCCCAGCTACTGAGTCAATTCTGACTCCTGGCAACCCCATGTGTTACAAGGTAGAACTTCTTCATAGGGTTTCGAAGGCTGTAAATCTTTATGGATGCAGACCGTCATATCTTTCTCCTGTGGAATAGCTGGTGGGTTTGAACTGTTGACCTGCTTAGAACACAGAACCACACTGCACCATTAGGGCTCTTTAGGCAAAGATACCCACTGCCAACGAGTCAATTCTGACTCATAACAACCCGCATGGGTTTCTGAGATGGTATATCTTTACGGAAGTAGATTGCCCCATCTTCGTTCTGTGGATTCGCTGGTGGGTTTGAACCACCAACCTCCCAGTCAGTGCTGCACTGCCAGAGCTCCTTAGGCAAAGATTAAAAAAGAAACCAAACTCACTGCCTTGGAGTCAGTTCAACTCACAACAACCCCACCTTGGGTTTCCAAGGAAGTATCTCTACAGAAGTAGATTGACCAACCTTCCGGCTGAGGAGTGACTGGTGAGTTTGAATTGCCAGTCCTCTGGCTAGCAATCAAATGCCTTAGGCACTACACTACCAGAACTCCTGTTGTTGTTATGTGCCCTCAAGTAGGACTCATAGACCAGACTCAAAGCTACCCCTCCTTGGGTATCTGAGGTGGTATCACTACGGAATAGATTGCTCAACCTTCTTTCCAAGGAGTGGCTGGTGGGCTTGAACCACCAGCTTTCTGGGTAGTAGTCAAGTGCCTTAGGCACTAGTTACCAGAGCTCCTGAGCAAATGTAATTCATTCTCAAAGTCATCAAGCCCTTCAGTCTAAGAAATGTTGGCTCTTGGCTGACCAATCAGAATAAGATACAGGGTGGCTGGGACAGGATTTGGGGAGAATAAGCCACTTGGTCTTGCGAGGTAAGGGTTATTGCCTTCAACATGTAGACACCATGTTTCCTTTGAAGCTTTCTAAGGAGTCCCCTGGCAAGTTTTCTTTACTCACTGTTTTCAGTACACAACTGCTGGGTGTTGGTTTTGTTTTGTTTTTGGTCATGACCCTGGACAGGCAGGGAGGGGCCTGACAGCAACACAAGGGAACCACCCAGCCATTTGGATCCATTAGCAAGGCTATCAGGTTTGCTAATAGGAGAGCAGCTTCAACTCCTAATTGAATTCATCTGGAGACATTATAGGGCTAGAGCTGCCAGGAGGGCAGCAGGCCCCTGCGTGCTTCTCCGTGATTAAATATTCAAGCTCAGAGAATGCTGAGAGTCTTTATGGGTGTAATTAAGGTGTCTTGGCCTTGGCCAGCACTCCATCAGAGACCTGGGGGTTTGAATCCTCTCATAGCTGAACCTCTGGGGCTCAACAAAGAGCATCCTTGTCTGTTCTGGGCCTCAGCTGGCTAGGTACCAAATAAATATGCAAAGGAGGCCTCAGCAGGCCCTAGGCCCAGAGGAGGCTTTCGCTGAACCTCAAAACTCCTGGCCACTCTGGTCAGTACGTACCTGTGCAGATCCAGTGGGCCCTTCAGAGAGCTGAGTTCATAGCCCTGGGCTTCTGTCCTGCAGGGAGTGGATGACACAAGCTCATCAGAAGGCAGCACAGTGGACTGCCCAGATCCTGAGGAGATCCTAAAGAATATCCTTGAGCTGGCAGGTATCCTTGAAGAGCCAGATGACTGCTTCACAGAAGGTAAAGTGGCAGCCACAGGCCTCCTCACAGGGACGCTCTATGACAGACTCCAGTTCAACACTCACTCACCTGGGTACGTCCTGTGTCTAAGCACCCTGGCCTGGTATCCACAGGAGATAGACAAACAGGGCTTCTTGCTGCCTTCCCCCAAGGTGTGAAGGGGCCAGGGTCAAACGTAAGTGCCCACCTCTCCCAGCAGCCTTGCAGCAGTATCTCCATCACATGCCATGTCAGACAAGGCAAATGGAAGAAAACTGGGGACATGCTTCATCATCACTCTCAAAAGCACCTCGCTGAGTTAAAAACCAGCCCCCTTGAGGTTGAAAAGAGAAAAGATAGTCACTACCATAAAAGCTCCTGATTGGGGACATAAAGGACCCGGAGGAGGGTCATGACATGTCTGTTTCCCTTTATCTTTCATGTAACTCTTCGAGGCAGAATCTGAATCTTATTCATCTTCTTTTTCTCAGTGTCTAGAAGTATGAGGCACATATGTTCTCAATAAATATCTATATAATGAATGAGCAAACACATACTTTGTACTATATGAAAGTAATTGTGGTCTTGATAATTTGAAAAATAATAAAAACTTCATTGAGTGTCCAGTTCTACTTGATTGTGGACTGGACTAGCCTGAGCTCAGGCCCTATCCCAGCCCTCAGTCCAGCATGGACTCAGGTCAGAGCTCCTCAGATACCACCAAGCTCAGACCACGTGGCTTTTTGGGCTTCCAGGGAAACATGAGATGGATGGACATAGAGACAGGGGCCATTGATATCATCTGCATGTAGGAGTATGGTTGGAGAGAGGACATCAGAGTGGGGAAGATGAATGGTGGAGAGGAATACTTGGAAAACAGGATTGAGAGACTGCCTGGAAGAGACCCCTTTACTCTCATATCCCAGGAAATAATTCTTTTCCAAAGACGTGGAGAATGGGTTCACCAGCAGAGTAGGTGTAGGGCTGGAGCAGGATCGGTCCCTGTCCAGTGAGACATCTTCCACCATCAGGCTTTTCTCCCCACAGGCTGCATGCACCGCTGCCCCTGCTGCAGAGTGGATACCACCAAGGTTCCGTGGGGCATGGGCTGGCACGTGCGCAAGATCTGCTTCCGCATCGTGGAGCACAGTTGGTTTGAGAGCTTCATCATCTTCATGATCTTGCTCAGCAGTGGGTCGCTGGTAAGGGGTTGACTGGGATGGGGTCTCCACCACAAAGTCCTCCAGATGAGATCCCCACAAACCAAAGACACTGGAGTCACATTGATGCATTGATGGGTTTCCCTGACTCCTGAGCTGAAAGTCCCCAAATTGTAGCTGGAAGGGGAGCTGAAGCCCAATGCAAAGCTTCTTCTTCTTCTTTTTTTTCCTTATTGTCATGAAAATATACACGCCAAAACATTTGCCAGTTCAATCATTTATGCATGTAAAAGTCAGTGACATTGATTACATTCTTCATATTATGCAACCATTATCACTATCTTTTTCCAAGTTATTCTATCAACCTTATCATAAACCTAATGCCCCTAAGCAAAAACTTCCCTTTAACCCCTCCCTCCTACCCCTGGGAGCTCTGGTAGCATAGTGCCTAAGGCACTTGACTGCTAACCAGAAGGCCGGCAGTTCAAACCCACTAGCCACTCCTCGGAAGGAAGATGGGACAATCTACTTCCATAGTGATACTGCCTCGGAAACTCAAGGAGGGGTCACTATGAGTCAGGTCCAACTCGATGGTACATAACAACAACAACAACCCTACCCCTGGTAACTGCTAATAATCTCTCTTTTCTAAATAGTTGCTTATCTTATATAAGTGAGATTATGCAGTGTTTGTCCTTTTGTGAGGACTTACTTCACTCAACCTGTTTTCAAGGTTCATCCATGTTATGGCATGCATCAGAATTTCATTTCTCCTAATGATTAAGTAGTTTTCCATCGCAGGAGAAAGATATGGCAGCCGTAAAGATTTACAGTTTTAGAAACCCTGTAGGGCAGTTCTACTATGTCTTATAGGATCGCTGTGAGTCAGAATCAACTTGATGGCAGTTGGTGGGTAATATTCCATTGTGTGTATGTACTACATTTTGTTTATCCATTTATCTTTGGTTATTTCCACCTTTTGGCTATTGTGAAAAGGATTGCAATGAACACTGGTGTACATGGCTCCTCTTAACAACAGGACATGGTGGGTACTCAGATGTCCATGGCATGGTCTGTTAAACCTGACTGCAAATATTTCAAGCAGTGAGTGTATGCATTCCCTTTTATAGATAGGGAAAGTAAGCAAAATGGATTTCTTTATGTGGTGTTTTGCCTTGGTTTTTGGAAAAACCGCTTGAGAGATTTTCCCCCTAAACCCCGAAGAGTTACCTTTGCCCTAGTTTTCTACCCCAGAGGATTTGTTACTTTTTCCAGGTGGATTGATATTTCCTGGGTAAGCTGTAAACTACTTGGCTTTGATACTTTCTGTCTGGTCCTGGGCTGCAGCCTGTCCTATGATTGCTATGCACCTTGCAGGCATTGGTCAATAGACTATGCAAATGAGGTGAGTTATAGCCTACCATGTAAATGAAGTGCCTGTGGCCTACTGAGAGGGGATTAGTCAGTTTGTGCCCCACTCCCCCTACCCCCTATGCCTCCCAGGAGGAACTGTGCCTTGAAATTGACAAGGAGTTGTATATACATACACAGCCAACCTCATATAAGGTTTTGTTTGTTTGATTGTCATTTGGGTGGACATTTACGGAGCAAATTCATTTTCCGTTCAACAGTTCATACACATTTTGTTTCATGACACTGATTGCAATCTCTACAACGCAACAGCTTTCTTCTCACTTTCTTCTCACTTCCCCCCTGTGGTTATCTTTTTCCCTGTGTCCTTTTCTATGGATTCCTGCCCTCTGAGCTATCTCCCTGCACAAATGGTGCCCTTCTGATCTCCCATGGTTGATTGATTGTTCTAAAGAGTGTACCTACTTGGTATAACTATTTACCTCATAGACCTGTCTATTGTTTGCCTGGAAGTTAAGCCAAAGACACATAGGTTTTAGAGACAGAAAGAAAAGCAGAAGGAAGAAAGAAGAGAGAAGAAGCAGGAAGATAAGAGACAAGAAACCTTCCAAAAGATCTGTAACACAGGCAAGGGCTGTAATACTGAAGACAGTGAGAGGCCTGGAAGGGGCCCATGGCAGAGCTGATGGTAACAGACAGCAGGGCAAAGACAGCCTGTCTTTTGGGGGTCAAGAGGAGGTCTGCACAGTGAAAAAGAGAGCTGAGAGAGCTGTCCTGCACTGAAGAAGGGAGACTTTGCCTATATGCTTCATGATCCTAATGTTTGTTGATCCTGATCCCAAGTAGTACCCTGTTCCTTAATAAACCACTTAACTGTAAGTATAGTTCATGAGTTCTAGGAAGTGTTGCAGAAAATTACCGTATCCAAACAGGGGAGGGAATAGTGCTGAGGGGAAGGAGAGTGGCCAGTGTCAGAGATGGAGAGGTGCAGCAGTTTGGAGAATGTGGAAATCTGGGATATATTTGACCTCTGCCTCACAGGAGTTGACTTTGTGCTGATTTTTATACTTGAAGTTTATATTTGAAGACTTAGAGTTTAAGGGACATGTCCAAGATCACCTAGCTTTATAGTAGCAAAACCTAGCTTTCCCTTCATGTCTGTTTATTCCCAAATCCTCTGGGTTTCCACCTGCTAACCTCCCTTACTCCCCACCACCACCCAAACACACAAGCCTTTCTGAAGAAGACCTAGTACAAAGAGGACTATCTTTTGTCTTCTGAAACTACTTGCAAATACTGTTACTACTCTATCAAAGCTGGTGGCAAATCATTACAGCAGCAATTCTCAGAATGGAATCACCAAGGGAGCTGGTTAAAATGAGGATTCTGACTCAGTACATCTGTGATGCAGCCTGAGAATCTGCATTTCCAAAAAGCTCCCAGGTGCTGCTGCTGCTGCTGGTCCACACATCACCCTTTGAATAGCAAGGCCTTACAGAAATAGAGATTCAGAGCAAGAAGGCCCTTCCTGAGCACCTTATTTAGTTTCAGGCTTTCTAGGACAAGGAATAATAGCTCACTCTATTCTGTGACTTAGGCTCATTACATAAACCCAAACCAAATGCACTGGAGTTGAGTCGGATCCGACTCATAGCAACCCCTCCTTGGGTTTCTGAATCCATATCTCTACAGAAGTAGATTGCCCAACCTTCCTTCCGAGGAGTGGCTGGTGAGTTTGAACTGCCAGCCTTCTGGTTAGCAGCCAAATGCCTTAGGCAGCACACCACCAGAGCTCAGACCCTTTACATAGTCTCAACTAATCACCCTGATAGACCAAGGTAGACATGGGGAGGGGCTTATCATCTCCAGTTGTGCTCATTTTTTATATGAGGAATTTGAGGACCAAAGACATGAAAGGAAATTCCAGAGTCCAAACTAATTAGTTAAAGATTTGGACTCCTAACTCAGAGCTTCAAGTGTTTTCACTTGTCTTGCTCCTTGATTATCATTTGTCCCTGACAACAACCTACTGAATGTCTGGGCACCCACTTAAATGCCGTATGTCCCAGAAAGGGTGCTCAGTGTGTGGCCTCAGCCTTGTTGTTGTTAGGTGCCATCGAGTTGGGACAGACGAGGAGTCAGCTGCCTCAGCCTTAGGGAGGAACAAAGGAGAACAAGAAGGTGGAATATGAGGGGTGGGAGGAAAATTATGGCAGCCATGGCACAAAAACCAAGGGAGGAGAGCATTTCAAGGAAAAAGGACTGGTCAGCCATCTTGAATGCAATGGAATGGACAGGTGTGGTGGTGTCAGCTCATTGTCCTGGCATGTCCACCTTAACTGCGCCAGCCCAGGACAGTGGTGGGTGCAGAGGCCAAATCCCAGGGATTGAAGGAGGCTGGGCAGTGTATTCTCCACTCTTCCCCTTCTCTTCTTCCTGTCTTCCTTGATAAAATAATAGTCACATTGTCTGTTGACTATACCTCATTACCTCCTGGACTCATGTCTCTCCCCATGGGCCTTTCTTTCTTCATTTCTCTTCACTCTGCCTTGCTCCTTCCCTGCATACCAGCTGGGAGCTCAGACCCTGCAACAATTTATCCTTTTCCAGCTCCAACCCAGGCCCAGCCCAGCAGCTTGCTTCTTCACTTCCTATCTCCTTCCCAAAGGGATTGATCAGGCTAGTGCTAAATTTAGTCTACTTTGTTCTTTCACTTTGAGCATTTTTGAAACAAAAATACATGTTTTTATCTAACAAAGTGAAGTGCAAAATGAAAAACTTAGAAATTATAGAAAAATATAAAGGAAAAAAAACTTCACTCCTTTTTCTGTCACTTGGAGCTAAGCTCGTTTCGAAAGCATTTTGGTATACCTCCTCCCTGTATTTCTTGTGCATAATATACATACATATTACAAAAATGAAGCCACATTTAAGTATTCCGTAAGATATTACATTTTCTTTGTAAACATTCTACTACCTTTTGCTGGCTGCAGTATATTCCATTATGTGAACGTGCCATAATTTGTTTAATCAGTCCTTACGTTTACTTCTAATATGCAGTGAATATCCTTGTGTGTGCACCTCTGGAGAGATTGGATTATTTCCCACCTTAGCTCCGGTTCTGGAAGGAGAACCTGAAGCAGAAATTCTTTTTTTTTTTTTTTTTTCTTTAATTTTTATTGTGATTTGGGTGAAAGTTCAAATTCACTCTCCATACAGAAGCTCACACACACTTTGTCTCATGACATTGACTACAATTTCCCACAATGCAACAGCTCTCCTCCCACTTCCTCCACATAGTTACCTCTTCCCTGTGTCCTTCCTCCCATGCACTCCTGCCCCTCAAGCTGTCTCCCTGTGCATGCACAGTCCTTCTACTCTTCCATGATTGTTCTCTCCAAGGATTGTATCTACCTAACATAAATGTTCAGCTCATACGCCTGTCTTTTGTTTGGCTGAAATCCACAGGAGTGGATTCAATTCCAGACCTGAAGGGCAGCTGGGGGCCATAGTCTCAGGGGTTCCACCAGGCTCTATCAGACCAGCAAACCTAGTCTCTCTTTTTTTTTTTATTTTTATGATTTTTGAGTTTTGCTTCATATTGTTTTCCTACTCTATCCAGCATCTCCTACATAGATCCTCTTCTGAGTGGTTGATATTGGTAGCCAGGCACCATCTACTTCTTCTGGTCTCATAGTCAAGTAGGTTGAGGATCGCATGGTGTACCAGTCGTTTGGACTAATCGTTTCCATGTGTCTTTGGTTTTCTTCATTCTTCTTTGCCCTGGAGAAGAAGAGACCCATCATTGCATCTAGATGGCTGCTTACAAGCTTTTAAGATCCCAGTTGCTACTTGCCAAAGTAGTATGTGGAACGATGTTTTTGTGTAGTATGTTATATCAATTGAGCTTCATGTCCCCTGCAGCCATGATCCCACAGGTCCAAATACTCACTCGTCCAGGTAGCTGGCTGCCAAGGAGTGACTACAACTTTATCCCTTGTCAGCTCTACTATATACCTGGAAATATACATACAAATACACTTGTAGAAACATTGTCTGCCAACCCTCTACATGGTCTTGGGCACACTCCCACCTGCATAGACATACCTAATAGTTCAGCCTGTCCACCCATCTATCCACCCGTATATCAATGTTTGCCTTCACTGACAACGCAGTACTATATGTGCAGAAGGGTTCATCTTTGTTGTCTGTACCTCCCATGCACCTCTCTGTGTCTTCCTCTTCCTCATACCACCATGTTGATCACTCACATTTGGTGCATTGCTCTCTTTGAAGCAGAGATTCTTGTACAAGCAATTTATTGAAAGGGTGCTATTAGGTGAAGCCTGTGAGGAAAGCAAGATAGAATAAGAGGGGGTTGAAAACAAAACCAGTTGTCATCAACTTGATTCCAGCTCATGGCAACCCCAGAGTAGAATTGTGCTCCATGGGGTTTTCACTGGCTGTAGCTTTCAGAAGTAGTTCAGCAGGACTTTCTTCCAAGGCACCTCTGGGTTGACTCAAACCATCAACCTTTTGGTTGGTAGCCAAGCGTGTTAACCATATGCACCACCCAAGCAGCCAGATAGAGAGTGGAGCTAATAGAAGAAGTGGGTTTACATGAAATCCAGCCTCAGCCTGAAGTACCGGGGCAGGAATGACACCACAGAACTGTCCCACTCTGAGGCCAAGGGGCAACCTTTGAAACCTTGGGGCCTGGGGGCTGGGGGCTGCACCCATGGGAAGGATATAACCTAAGTACTTCCCAAGGTGGAGGCAGTTCCCTACAGCTCAGGAAAGTTCTCAGGGGAAGAAAGCATCTGCAAGCTGTTAGCAGCCACTTCTCTCTGTAGCTGAGGGATGAGAGCATTGGCCCCTTAGAGAGAATCTGGGTAGGACCCTAATAGCCTCAAGTACATGATCGTAAGATAAATTCTTGGAGGTGTAATTGCTGGCTGTCTAAAGCCCTTGGATCATATTACTAGTCTGGCTTCCCTAAAGACTGAACTGGTTGGTTTGCACTCCCAGCCCTCATGGATGAGAGAAGTAGCTTCCCCACAGTCACACCAACACTAGGGTGTTTTCCTCCCCTGTCTTTTTCATCCTCTGCAATCTGATAAAAGAAAAATGGCATTTTCTTTTCATGTGAATTTCCTTGATTACCAGTGAGATAGAACACTCTTTTTCAGTGGTTTGCTGGCAATTCTTACTTTTATTTTTTGCGGACTGCCTGTGAACATCCTCTGGTGCTGTTATTTTTAAACCAAGTCACCATTAGCATCCCTTTGGTTTGCTTCCAAAATCCAATTTGAGGTTTCCTTTCTCACTTGCATTCAGTTCCCCTGCAAAGTCTAAGCAGGGCTGCATGTCCCCATCGGCTCCGAGGAAATCGGAGTTTGTAGCTCACAGGTGCCTCCTCCACAATCCCACCTTCACCTCCTCAGGCAGAGAAAACAAGATGATACTGGCAACCTGGTTACCAGGCCCATTCCCAGGAACTATGAGGAGGGTTGCCTATGCCCTCCCCTGTCAGCTTGTGTCCAGACAGCCTGTCATTCTGCTCCCTTCTTCCAGGCCTTTGAAGACTATTACCTTGAACAGAAGCCTACAGTGAAAGCCTTGCTGGAATACACCGACAATGTGTTCACATTTATCTTTGTGTTAGAGATGCTGCTCAAGTGGGTGGCCTATGGCTTCAAAAATTACTTCACCAGTGCCTGGTGCTGGCTGGACTTCCTCATTGTAAACGTGAGTGGCTCAGTGGGTGCATGTGGGGTTTGGCTGCAGCTCATTCAAAGGCAGCTCACAGGCCTGGCCTTCAAGGGCTACTCCAAAGAGGTTTTGAGCATTTAGTTAGCAACCAGTCTGAGAACAGCCCTGCAGAGCTCTGAATGCTGAGATCCACACAGTGCATGATTCTGGCATAGTGGTGACCCCCAGGGGAGTTCTCAGTTCTGAGGTCTCCACCCAGAAAGATCATTTATTTTGCCCCGCATTTACATCCAAAGCAAGATGACCATCAGGCTCTCAAGGATTTGATGGTTTGAGGACTATGCACATAATCTCCCCACCTCTTGATTCACTGGTATCTTAGTCTGGGTTCTCTAGAGGAGTAAAACCAGTGAGAGAAAGAGAGAGAGAGAGATTTACTTCAAGGAAATGACCCATGCCCCTGGAGGCCCTGGAGTGTCCCAAATCCATGGGTTGGGAGACAGGCTGGAAACCTCTGCTGGCTCATGTGGCTTCAGGTGCTGATGAATCCAAAATCTTCAGGTCAGGCAACAGGGTGGAGGCCTCTGCTGGCTCACAGGGTTGTGGGTGTTGACAAATTCAAAATCTGCAGGTCAAACAGCAGGTCAGAGAGTTCTGCAGACTTATGATTCAGGAACTAGAAGTTAGACAATGAGAAAAGTGCATGGTCAAGAGAGAGCAAGCTTTGCCAGAACATCCATTTATATTTGGGAGAAAGGCCACACCCCCAGGGGAACTCTCCTTTCAAATGATTGATTACATCAGATCACATCATGGAAAGTTACTACCTTATATTACATTACGGAAGAGCAACAAGTCCGGTATCTGCCAAACCACTGAAAATCATAGCCTAGCCAAGCTGACACATAACATTAACTATCCCGAGAGTTCCAAACCCTGGCTGCACTGTAGAATCATCTGGGGAGCTCTTAAACATGCTATGAAAACCACTATGCCCAGAGATCCTGATCTTACTGGTGTTGAGTGGGGCTCAGGCATCAGTATTTTGCAAAAGAATTCCAGCCATTTCCAATGTAGAGCCCAGGTTGAGAACCACTGAGCTTATACCACTGGCTTCTCCACAGTGGGTCCCTTTGGAGAGGTGATGAACTCATGTGCTCAGACTCACTGTAATCTGTGGCCAGAACTGCATGCATTTGAAAATTTACCGAATGCCTCTCACCTACTAGCTATGTGATTCCTCAAAGCTATGAGATTCCTCAAAGCTATGAAGACACCATCCTCCTTAAATCCTTCCAAGAGTCCTCCTATGCCCTAAAGTCAAAAGTGATCTCGCCTTCCTGTTAACCACTGCACTGTTCTAACTATCCAAGCTATTGCCCTCTTGGTTTTGCATCATGGCTATCTGAATTATTTGCTCACTGCTGTTCTTCTGAGGGTTCCAGCAGGCAGGGTGAACCATGTACTATGTTCTCCTCAGCCTCCTCCATGCCAGCAGCTACAAGCAGCAAGGTCTGCACATCAGAGGTGCTCAGGAAATGTGTCTGTATTTGGTGTCTGCCTCCTAAAGCTGGATGAGGTCCAGTACAGAACATTTTGTCCACCCTCCTGTGTTGGCAGGTCCTCCCACAGCAGGCCTGTGAACATTAGGCTGTGAGACCTGAGATGTGAGTCACAGGTGATAATTTTGTGCATCTAAAATAATCATTCATATATGAAAATAAAATGTTTTCTGCTAGCTACCCACCCCTGTTAGGGGCACAGTCATTCCTAACTATGTAGGTCTCACTAGTTTCTGTCCTGATCACTTTAAGTGGTTACCCACTCCATCCATCCCCTTACTGATTCTTCTAGTCACTCACTCTAATCCTTCCATCTGTCTAACTATTTAACTTTCCTTCTTCCTTCCTTCCAACCATCATCTATTTTTCCTTTATATTCTGCTCTGGTTACCTAGTGCTGCTAGGTAACCACAAATAGGATGGCTTTAACAAACAGGAGTTTATTCTCTCACAGATGGAGGCTTTAAGTCCAAGTCCAAAATGCCAGGCTCTAGGGGCTGGGTGAAAGCCCCTCAACTTTGGGGTCCAGCTCTGCCTCCTGTTCCCTGCCCACTGGAGCTAGAGGCGTTTCTTCACTCAGACAGCTGCTGGCTGCTGAGACTGACAAACCCAAGGTTGACAAATAAAAAGGCACAGTCCTGATGTTCCCAAACCACACAGCAGGCTATTAATTTAAGTTCATTGTAAGTCCCAAGGTCGGCAGAGCATGGCAGGCTGCTGAACAACAACACAGCTTCATGCAGGGTCCAAGCATGCCATAAGCTAGAGACCATTCCCAAAGCTGCTGCTTATATATGGGAAGCAGACCCCATACCCAAAGCAGCTACTCAGCTGCTTGTGGTAGATCCCACTATGGAGATGATTGCCAGGCTCATCATGGGGAATAACTACCACCAGCTGCCCAGCCACTCAACCAGGCCCAGCCCAGTTGACACACAAACTGAACTACCATATATATTTATCTCCATCAGTCCTCTTCTTCCATTCATCCTATTCATCCTATTCCTATTCTTCCCTTCTGTTTATCCATCTATCCTAACCTTCCTTCCATCCACTCATGTACCCATCCATCCATTGATCCTTAACCCTTCTCTTTCTATTGAGTCATCCTTCTAACTATTCAATCATCTAATCTATTCATCCATTTATGTATCTTCCATCCATTCATTCCTTTATCTTTCTAGTCTTCCTTTAACCCATCCAGATTCCATGCATCTGTCCATTTATTTATTTTCCTTCCTTCCTTTCATCCATGCATCCATTTATTCATCTAACCAATCTTCCATTCATTAATCCCTTGCATTCATTTATTCTAATCAACTTTCAATCTTTCAATTCATCTATTAGTCATTTTATCCAGCCAGCCATCTTTCCCATCCATCCCTGCAATAATACTTTTTCTTTCTTCCTTGTTTTCTTTCTTCCATCCTTCTAGTCAACTATTCTCTCCATTTTGTATCTTTTAATTCATCCTTCTATGCAACCATCCTTTGACCTTGCCTCCAGCTGTTCTTCTTTCTCTTCTTCCTTTCACCTATCTTTCCTTCCATTTATCAAATGTTTATTGACAACTACTGAATACAGGATTGTCTTGTGAAATTATCTGGGAGAGACAGAAGCAAGAAACAAATATTCCCTATCTGCAGGAGTTTACACTTTAATCTTCCAACAGATAAGACACACACAGAGAAGTAAAAATATTATAAGGGGGATGTGATAAGCACTGCTGGAGACAATTATTGTCTTGGGGACAGAGACAGGAGCTTCCACTTGGAGGGTGAGAGTGATTGGGAAGGCTTTATATAGGAAGTGGCATTAGATGCAGGGCTTAGAAAAGAGCACCTGCTCTTTTCTAAGTATGAAGAGAACTGGAGAGGCCAGTCTCAGTTAAAGATCACCCTGAGCAAAGGTACAGACAGACACAGGTATGTTCAGGGAACAAGTTGATGTGGATAGAATATATGCATGAAACATGACTGGGAAAAATAGATTGCAGTTGAATAATCTAGGCTGAGGATTCTGGAGCTTATCCCAAGGTTGAGAAAGCACCAGTGAAGGTTGGGAGTAGGGGAGAAGCATACTCATAATTAGATTTGCAATGGAGAACAGATGGGAAGGATGCAATACTGGGACCTGGAGACCAGTTGGGAAGCTAGTGGCTTGAGTAGTGAATGGAGTGGCACTTAGGTGGCAGGGCTTTGCTAGAGAGGCTCCAGTTCCTGGTTGCCCCAACTGCAGATTTCAAATATGAGGCAGCCTTCCCATGGGAGTGAGCAGAAGACTAAATAGATCCCAGCATGGAACTGGCTTCAAACCTCCCTGCCCTCAGTCAGCCAGGCAGTTGAGTGCCACCTGCTGGTAGCTGGAACCTTTCATGGATGAGGGAAAGGGGTTCTTTCCCTTCATTTCTTTTGTTTCAGTGGAATAAGTCACCCATTCAAAGAAGGACATTGTTTGAGGCTATAACACCCAAGAGTAAACCCCTCCCTTTCTGAAGTTCTTGTGTATATCCCCACCTAGCTGCTAGGATAAGCTAAGCCTGAAGTCATTCATGGTGCAGTAGGAGTAGGGGGTCTCTTAGGATTGTGTCACTGTCTCCACCAGGCTCAAACCTGTGCATAGAGTTTCTCCCTGGCACCTTCAAAATTCCAGGGTGGTGTGACTATTTCTCTATATCACTTTGTATTCTTGGCAATTCTTTGACCGCCACTTAAAGAAGGTGAAAAACTGACCGAGCATTAGGGGCTTACAACTCAGTCATTGTATCTCAGGTATCTGTCACAGCTAGACTCTGTGGACACATAACAGTCACACTTAGTGAAGAACTGAAAATCTAAAGGACCTTGGAACTCTCTTAGTCTGGTTCCCTCATTTCACAAAGGAGGAAAGTAAAACCTGGACTCTTGGGGCACTGACCCAAAGTCATAAAGAATCATTGGTGAGAGGGAACGAGTCCCTACCCAGACCAGGACTCTGTCCAGCCCACTTTTGTGGACAAATATATCCCTCAAAGTAAAATTTCAGCATAGCCTAATTTAAGGAGCATCATCTCTCTCTGATCTCTAGAAGTCAATCAAAATTTCAAGATTGTCAGGGACTGGTTGGTGCCCCTGAAGGGGGAAGGGAGGGTTGATTTAATACACTGGGAGCTTTGCCACATATATTCCAGGAGGTGGCAATGTGAGGGACTGTGATTTTTTTTTTTTTTTTTTTTTTTTACCTAGGGGTTCATATAAGTGATTAATAAAAATTTTAACAAAAGAGAAAGAACTGTATTCTCTGTAGACCTCTTGTTGGAGTTCATGATAGAGTGGATCCCAAACAATGGCTCAGACAGAGTAGGAGGTAGGAGGATGCGCAGGGTCTTCCTCCACGAGGACTACCTTTCTGGACCCTAAAGTAATGGTTTTGCTTTTTTCCTGTACTCAGATCTCATTGACAAGCCTTATAGCAAAGATCCTGGATTATTCTGATATGGCATCCATTAAAGCCCTTCGGACACTCCGTGCTCTGCGGCCACTCCGGGCTTTGTCTCGATTTGAAGGCATGAGGGTAAGACCATGACCCTGACCTATCTCAAAACTGATTTACTATGCAGTAGTTGATAATCCTTCCCATTTTAGGGAGCTCTGGTGGCATAGTGCCTAAGGTATTTGACTGCTAACCAGAAGGCTGGTGGTTCAAAGCCACCAGCCACTCCTCAGAAGGAAGACTGGGCAATCTACTTCCATAGAGATACTGCCTCAGAAACTCAAGGAGGGGTTGCTATGACTCAGAGTAGACTTGATGGCAGTGAATTTGGTCTTTTTTTTTTGGTTCCCCTTTTAACACTCACCATGCTACCTACCCTGAGCTCCAATACCCATCTCCAAAATTTGGAGCCCTCCCTTCCCTCTCTAACTTGAGTGGTGCCTCAGTGTCCTAATCCTCCTTGTTCTCTTATGAGCCTCCCTTCCCTTCGCATCCCTCAATTTCACATCCACACATCCACCAGGGTTCAGACCTCACTTCCTCTTGTTCTTAGTGAAGTGACCCTGATTAGGACTCCACAAAGTGTTGATTATCTCAGTCTCCCAACCCTGTCTCTTGTCCCTGTTGCCAAGATATCCAGAACACCTATAATTTATCTTCCCATGAGGAAAATTATCTTTTCCATTAAATGTAATGGCAGTCTTTATTCCAGGCACTCAGCTTGGCACCTCAGTCACCACCACTCCCTGGAATACAACTCCTCTCTGACCTAAGGGTGTCATCAGCTCCTACGGATTTTTCCCTACATCCACTCTTTTCCTTATCCATCACTGTCAGCCTCCACCTTGCCCTCACTGTCTTCTGTGGGATGGACTGCTCACAATTCTGGCCCTTGTTTTAAGGGAAGAGTAGCTGCTAATTGTTCCCCTCCTCCTCCTCATACTTGCAAAAGCTTCCCAATGCTGAATGTGAGGTTTACTTTATTCCTTCACCATTGGCTCAAAGTAGACATAATATCTTCAAAAACAAGTCGACTTTTTTTTTTAAATTGTTATTTAGATGAAAGTTTACAGAGCAAATTCAGCTTCCATACAGCAGTTCACATACACTTTGTCTCATGACATTGACTGCAATCTCCCACAATGCAATAGCTCTCCTCCCTCTTCCTCCCCATAGCCAGCTCTTCACTGTGTCCTTTCTCCCATGCATTCCTGCCCCCCGAGCTGTCTCCCTGTACACACACTGCCTTTCTGTTCTCCCATGATTGATCTCTCCAAGGAGTGTATCTATCTAATGCAAATGTTCAGCTCATATGCCTGTCTTTTGTTTGGCTGGAAGCCACAGGAGTGGGTTTAATTCCAGACCTGAAGGGCAGCCAGGGGCCATAGTCTCAGGGGTTCCAGACCAGCAAACCTAGTCGGTTTTTTTTTTTATGATTTTGAGTTTTGTTGCACATTGTTCTCCCACTCTATCCAGGATCTCCTACACAGGTCTCCTTCCAAGTGTTGACAGTGGTAGCCAGGCACCATCTGGTTCTTCTGATTTCATAGTCATATACACTGAGGATCACATGGTCTACCAGTCCCTCAGACTAGTTGTTTCCATGCATCTTTGGTTTTCTTCATTTTTCTTTGCTCTGGATGAGGAGAGACCCATCGTTCCATCTAGATGCCTGCTTGCAAGCTTTTAAGATGCCAAAATAAGATGTAAAACAATGATTTTGTGTAGTATGTTATGCCAGTTGAGCTTGATGTCCCTATAGGTCCAACTACTCACTCCCTTTGGGTAGGTGGCTGTGGCCACAAAGTGACTACAGCCTTGTCCTTTGTTAGCCCTACTATATACCTGGAAATTCTTATAGAACATACAAATACACTTGTAGAAACATTGTCTGCTGATCCTCTACATAGTCTTGGGCACACCTCCCCCTGCATAGACATACCTAATAGTTCAGCCTCTCAACCCACATGTTGTTGTTGTTGTTGTTGTGTGCTGTCAAGTCAGACCCAACTCATAGCGACCCCTCCTTGGGTTTCTAAGGCAGTATCACTACAGTAGATTGCCCAACCTTCCTTCTGAGGAGTGGCTGGTGGGTTTGAACTGCCAGCCTTCTGGTTAGCAGTCAAGTGCCTTAGGCACTACACTACCGGAGCCCCTACATATCCACCCATATATCAATGTTTGCCATCACTGACAATGCAGTACTATATGTGCAGAAGGGTTCATCTTTGTTGTCTGTACCTCCCATGCACCTCTCTATGTCTTTCTCTTCCTCAGTGCCACTGATCACTCACATTTGGTGCATTGCATTTCCCTTCACCAAATCAATACTTGTCTCTACCTATCTAGCAGTACTCCTTCCCCTCCCCTCCCACCCCTGGTAATCAACAAAGAAAATTTCCTTCCATATATAAACATTTCCTTGATCAAAAACAAAAGTCGACTTTTAAAATTGATTTGTGCCTTTGCAAACATTAGGAGCTTAAGATTGAAATAGTTTGGAATTTATATTCTTTTAACTCCAGGCTCTTGTTTGCTGATTTTAAAATGACCAAGTTTGTGAATATTAACTTAGGTGTTCCCTAATTCTTGGCCAAAGAATCAGTCTTCTGAGTCTGAATTATTGTGTTAATTCTCTTGCTGCTTCCAAAAACCACTGGCTATGAACCAGCCTGAGTGAAAGTGGAAGTCAGCAGAGAAGGGTGGGATTTTATGAGGTTCCAGGTCCTTTTAGACCGAAGAAGAGTTGATGCTTTTGAGTTGTGGTGCTGGCGAAGAATGCTGAAAGTACCATGGACTGTTTAAAGAACTAACATATCTGTCCTGGAGGAAGTGCACCCAAAATGCTCCTTGGAAGTGAGAATGGCCAGACTTTGTCTCACTTATTTTGGTCATGTTGTCAGAAGGGACCATTCCCTGGAGAAGGATGTCATGCTTGTTAGGGTGGAGGGTCAATGAAAGAGGGGGAGGATTGACACGGTGGCTGCGATGATGGGCTCAAGTATAGCAGGGATCATGGAGCTGGTGCGCAATCAGGCAGTGTTTCGTTCTGCTGTGCATAGGGTCACTATGAGTTGGAAACGACTCGACGGCACCTAACAACAACAACAGGTCCTTTTACATTTCCCCCCCAGGTGGTTGTGGATGCTCTGGTGGGTGCCATCCCATCCATCATGAACGTCCTCCTTGTTTGCCTCATCTTCTGGCTCATCTTCAGCATCATGGGCGTGAACTTCTTTGCAGGGAAGTTTTGGAGATGCATCAACACCACCGATGATGACTTTTCTCTAGTGCCTTTGTCTATTGTGAATAACAAGTCTGATTGTGAACAGCAAAACCACACTGGCAACTTCTTCTGGGTCAACATGAAGGTCAACTTTGATAATGTTGCAATGGGTTACCTTGCACTTCTTCAGGTGGTGAGTGCTGAGATCAACCATGTCTCTTCCTCTGGCTACTGGATAAAATGGAGCTGTCTTGAGGTCTTCCAGAAGATGCCATGTAGAAGTTTTCTAAGGGGTAGAACTCAGTGTGTACTGAGGTCACCCCCTATTCCTACAGATTATACCATGAGTCTAGAGGGGCTTACTAATGAGATTGATTTCATAATGGTGTGATTAGACAAATGTGGTCTAACAGAGTAAAAGGATGAGTCTGCCATGGTATTGTCAGGTGATGACTTAGAACACACTGCCTGTACAAAATAAACATGGTAGGGTCACATGTTCAGCCTTTTACTTCCTATCATCTCCTAGATGGTAATGAATTATGTCCCTGGTCTATTGTAATGATAAATATTATTGATGATGATGACAGTCAAACACTTTCACACTTTCATTCATCCATTCACTCATTATGCCTCACTTTCATCCATTTTTCCATTCAGTACTGCTTTTTTTTCAAGTGTTGATACAATCACTTGTACATTTATCATGAAGTTACCCATGAATTCCTGCATTACATCATTTGTTCAAGAATTTATTTAACAAATAATTTCAGAGTATCTATGGTATGTTAAGCACTCTGCTCATCCCTGGAAGACACAGAGACCTGTCAGAACTGACTTTAAGGGTTCATACTCTGTGGAAAAACAGTAATAAATAAGCAGATCAAAACAACCTGCCAAGTGCTCCAACAGGCCCAGGAATACAAGAGATGAGGCTTTGTCCATGTCCTGCAAATACTGGATATACCCATCTCCAGACTTTAAGAATGTTAAACCTGGACAGGAACGTAGAGGTCTTGTATGCCTATATTCCCCATTTTCCAAATAGAGAAACATCCCATTCTTACATCATGAACATGAGACGGGAAAGTGGTTAAGAAAATGGCAGCCCAGAGGAGGGGAATGCCTTGATTGAGAACACAAAGCAGCCTAGTAGCAGTTGTAACTAGAAGTCAGATATCTAACCACTAATCCATGCCATATTATGGAAGGTTCCATGTTTTACTGCCACTCTATTCTTAAACAGCTGCACGGAATTAGTTTAAATGATCACGTGAGCATATTTGAGTCACCCAGAGAGGGGAAATCTTTCTTTTCTTCCTTTCCCAAGCCCTTTTTTGCACAAGTCTCCTTAGCTGGCCTCCTCTCCCACAAGGCCACCATGAATTAGGAAAGGTCCAACATAGTTGGGTAGACAGACACTGAGTGGCCTCTGATCCTTGATTCTAGGCAACCTTCAAAGGCTGGATGGACATTATGTATGCTGCTGTTGATTCCCGAGAGGTGAGTCTCAGATCACTGTGTCTCTCCCTCCCACATCTGCCCTACCCACACCAGTTTGTATGCAAAATGAAATGAAGAGAGACTTGGTACTGGAATAGGTGATCATCCGGCAGCTTTACACTATCCTATACTGGAGCAGTGTCCACCTTCTCCCTGTTCAATATTTAAGCCAGCCTGGCCTATTCCCCTTCCATGCACACTCCCCAGGCCCCTCAGGCTCTTCGTCTACTCACCTTTGAGGAAGGTATCAGGCGCTCCTAAAAGACTGTGAGCATGGGCCACTCCCTGGGCAGAAGTAGGACTGGAGAAGTGGCTAGAACAAAGAGGAGACTGATGGAGTGAGATGGGATTTCAGGCACTATCATGGCAGGCAGGTGGAGGAGATGCTTTGGGGAAGAAGGCCCTTTCTCATGTAGCAGATGTTGTTGATGCTCTACCTCAGGTCCTCTCAGCCCACCTCTGAGTTCACTGGTAACTACTAAAGTCCCCTCCCACGCTGCATTTCCAATTCTCTGTCTGAAGACTTTTTAAGCACTGGGGAACTTGCTCAGCAGCCCTTCCCCAGCTCCAGGGACTTAATGTCTCCAGAAGTAATCCTCACTGATAGGTATGGAATTCTGTGCATAAATACACCAGCTTCTCTGTCCCTTGGTGGTACAGTCCTGAGTTGTGTTCTACACTGTTCCTCAGAGGACCTCAGCAAGATTGACTATCACCTGCCCACAATGATGACCTGCTCAGTAACACCCACTTCATTAGCTTTTCTCCTGTTTCTGCTTGTTCTCCCCAATCTATCTCAGAGTTCACCTCCCAAATTACCTGCCCCTAAGTCCTTGTCTCAGGGTTCGCTTTTAGGGTGAATCCAAATTAAAGCACCTCCTCTCCACACCCCACTGCTGATTACAGGTGGACTGGCAGCCCAAGTGGGAAGACAACGTGTACATGTACTTGTACTTCGTCGTCTTCATCATTTTCGGTGGCTTCTTCACACTGAATCTCTTTGTCGGGGTCATAATTGACAACTTCAATCAACAGAAGAAAAAGATAAGTGGGGCTCAGTACTTCTGTTGTATTGGTGAATCTAATAACTCCTTATCCACTCAGACCAGCAGTGCCCTGTACTTTGACCAGCCTTGACCTCATGACTAAAGCCAGCACTACTCACAGTCTTTCACACATAACAGGGAACCCAGTTTTGGCCTTTAATGCCAACATCAACCTTTGCTCCCTGATCGCACCCTCACCCTGCCTGGTGTCGGGCTACTGCTGGAAGAGTTGGGTTTCTCTCTCTGTGTCAGCATTCACCCACCCACAGGTTCCAATTCTCCTTCCCTTCTGGAATTAGGTGTATTGGGTGTGTTGCAAGGAGCCCTGGTGGCATAGTGGGTAAGGATTTGCCTACTAACCAGAAGGTTGGTGGTTCAAACCCACCAGCTGCTCTGTGGGAGGAAGATGAAGCAATCTACTTCTGTAAAGATTTACAGCCTTGGAAACCCAATCAGGGTCACTAAGAATTGGAATCAACTTGATGGCAGTAGATTTGAGATTTGGATGTGTTCCAAGTGACCTCTTGGGAAATCTCAACAGAGAAGAAAAGGGCTCCAGCACTTTCTGCCTCTATGTGGGGGCACAAGCACTGGGTCAGAATGCCTCAGGCAGGGCCAGAACTCCAGTGATGTCAGAATCCCAATCATCCTTAGTCTAGGGAGGAATGCTCTTGCTGGGTGCTGACTCAGATTAGAAGGAACTCAATCCCAGGTCATCCTTCATGCTTATATTAAAATATGGGGTTAATAAATTTTAAAAATTTTTTCTCTGGGTGGCACAAAGTTAAGCACTGTGCTACTAAGTGAAAGGTTGGCAGTTTGAATCCATTCTGAAGCTCCTCAGAAGAAAGAATTGGTGATCTATTTCCGAAAGATTACAGTAATTAAAAACCTAATGGAAAGCAATACCACTCTGAAATACATGGGTTGCCATGAGTCAAAATTTACTTGACAGCAACTAATTTTTTGGTTTTTTTTTTCCCCCATGAGGTAGATAGGGCACTATTTTAGGTTTGTGTAAGCCAAGATCCAGAGGAAAAAGGGGTCACAGGAGCACAGAACTGGTTTTAGCATCATATAAGCCTAGGTTTGCATTCCTGATTCAACCAGTTGCTGATTGGGTTTTTTAAACCTTTCCAAGCCTCAGTATTCTCATCCATTTAATGAGGCTAATGATACCTACTCACAAGATGGTGGTAAGAGGTAAATAAAACCTTGTACAAAGCACACCCAGTATATGGTTGAGCACAGTATGGTTGCCAAGTGTCAAATATTACTAGTATAATTTGGATTATATATCCAGTGGGTCAGACACCCCACCTGCAGGAAGTCCTCTTCCAGGGTTCTAGAATGACAAGCAGGCAGGACAGGTCTGTGGGGATCCAGAGGGACTCAGCTGTCAAATGCTGACCAGTGTCATCAGTAAGCCAGAAGGGCCTTGAGACCCATTCTGAGCAATCTGTTGTCCCATTTTATAGGTAAGGAAGCTGATACCCAGAGAGGGAGCCAGCCATATTAATTAAGTGATAGAGTAAGATGAGCCAATGGTAAAGCTGGGGCAAGAAACTGCATCCACTGATTCCCTGTCCAGAATGCTCAGTATAGCTCACCCAGTGCCCACACTCACTGCTCCTGCTCCCACGATACACCCTCCCTAGGAAGCCCTTGTGCCCATTAAGTTTCTAAAACCTCCTCTCAAACCCCACTCTCAGCCCACTTTCGAGGATTGCAGTGACTAATTTGCATGAATATTCTATTAAAATGGGTGGCTTTCAAATTATGTCAGGAAGTAAAGTTGAGAGGTTGAATAAAGGAGACCCGAAGGGTCCCCAAAAGAAAACTAACACCCAGTCCTAAAGAAGGAAGACATCTTCAATGATGAAATTTCTGACACTGTAATAGCATAGCCTGTTTAAAAAAAAAAAAAAAATAGATTTCCCTCTAAAACCAAGGACCTGAGGGTAAGGCAGTAACTAATTAGATAGCTCCTCCTCTCCAAAAAGGGTTGAGGGGCTGGGTCCTCAGAGCCTTTACTCTAGAAGGCCCTGGAGAAGCTCTTGTCCCTCAAGAGACTGTGGCTCTTGAAGCCCAGTGAATTTGACTGGAATGATCAAATTGGCTCAGGCTCATATCTGTGCCTATATAACCTCTTTGTGTTATGTTCCCAAAGCCTCCCCTCTATCCATCCAGATACCATCTCTGAATTCCTGAAGAAGAGAAACAGGCTTTCCTTTAGAGACTCACACAGGGAGTCAGAGATGTGGTTCAATTACACCTGCTCTCTTGCTGGTTGTGGAACCTCTCTGCAGGATGCTCCATGATCCTGGCCATGGCATGGCTAGGGGAAAAATGGTCCTGCCCTTCCAGGGTGCTCTGCTTCTGGTATCTCTTAGGACTCATGTTGTTTTACTAATGGTGGTGTGTATTATCCTCTCCTGCACTTAGGGGGCCAGGACATCTTCATGACAGAGGAGCAGAAGAAGTACTACAATGCCATGAAGAAGCTGGGCTCTAAGAAGCCCCAGAAGCCCATCCCACGGCCCCTGGTGAGCTTCAGAGATTCCCTTTAGCAAAGCAAATCTATGAATCCAAACTGACAGCCTGTGCCTGTGCTATGTAAGGGCCTGGACAGGCTCTCTGTTGGGAAGGAGATCTGGCTGAGTTTGGAGATAACCATAATGATTATTCCCAGGCCCAAGAAGTGAGGTAACTCTGGTCTTCCGAAGTGAGGATAACTCCGGTAGGTGCTCCAAATAAACCTGTTTGTGTAAGTACTGAGTTCCCCGGCAGTTTTAGGGTTCAAGCAGAGGATTGGCAGAAGATCTAGCTAAATGATAGTGAGGGTGATTAGAGCCCTGAGGTGAAACATTTGCGTGGTTATGGATCATGAGCCATGTTGCAATGTTTCTTCAGCCTTATCCTACATTCCACCCTATACCTACAGATAGAGAGGAAGTGGCCAAACCCCCACCCCCCAGGATCCAAGGCCCAGTTATGGTCACAGCCATGTGACCCAATAGGAACCAAGAATTTATCTCCCTCTGGAGTTTAAAGATTGATTGAAAATTAGAGTCAGACCCTACTTTGACTCTTATTCAAAGTCACCAAGGAACATGCCCTTTTATTCCTCCATTAAATGGAGAACCCAGGCCATAAAAGATAACAACAAATTTTATCTCAGTTCTCTGCCAGAAGATGGAATATTGAACCTCTTGATGATCCCAAGATGGCACCCCTGTTGGGAGTGGATGAACAGGTTTGGGAGTGGGAATGTTGGTATGCTGGAAACGTACAGCTGAACCTCTGAAAGGAATTTCTGAGCCATCCACTCCAATGAATGGAATTAGCATCTTGTCCCTTTACAAAGCCTTTTTTTGTGGCTAGATGAAGCGTTAATGAAGAAAACCACAGGCACTTCCCATAAGCCCTTTCCCATACAAGGACAAAGTTTCTTCAGCAAAGGGACAGGTCTTTCCCTAAATAGGGAGACATACATTCCATTGACCAAGATGTTGTTGTTGTTAGTTACTGTGGAGTCAATTCTGACTCATGAGGTTTCTAAACCAAGGCAGGAAATTTGCATAAATAACTCCAAATTTTGTGAGCACAGAAGCCTACAAACTTACAGGAGGAAAAAAAAAAAATCATGATCTTTGGCACACTTTACTTGGAAACACATCATAAATTTATTAATGTTCTCTATTCAGATAACAAGTTACAGTGGGTAGTGACAGGAGGTTCAGACCTCCAACACTGGACCCAATCAATTAGATTCAAGTGAAAAGGTATAGGAGGAGGAGCCAGAGACTTACTGACAGGCAAAACACGAGTCCTTGGCTGGCCTTTACTGGTGGCTGGACTCATGGTTAGTATGTTTTTAAACTAGACACTGAGGATTTGGGCTCATTCTCGAACTCTGTAAGGCAGGCCTTAGCAAAATCATGAAAGTTTTTGGCATCTTCCCACACATATTTCTCAATCTCTCTATAACATCCCAGCTTTTCTCCTCTCATCTACCAGTCCCTCAAGGAGACTGCCAAAATTTACTCCTCTCAAGGAGGGTAATCACTCTGGAACAGAGTGGGCTGCATGTCACAAAGGGATCCTGGAGAGGACATTATCTTAATACAAAGGTATGTACCTAAGGTTGGAATTCCAGGCATTGCAATAGAAGTGAGAGCGGGACAGCTAGACGGTAAGACCTGCAACAAAATCACTATCTCTCCTAATTAAACTACAAACAAGATCCTCCAGGTTTGGTATTGAGCTGCTCTTCTACATGAGGAAGGGCCACAAAACTTCATAGCCCAACTCTGTTCCTGAGATTCACCATCCCTTTGAGGGAGAAAACGTATCACTAATTGACTATGAACACTATACTGGTCTTAGTGGAAGAACATGGCTGTCCCCTTAATACTCTGGCCCAAGCACAGAAAATATTCTTCATTTGTTCCCCTTGTCATAGGCCATAATATCTTAACAAGACTTTGAAGTCTTAGGGATGCCAACAGGGAAACAAATAAAGTGGATCCCAAGGAGCAACTGCATATGGCTGTTCTCCAAGGCCCATAGGTCTTGGTCCCCATCTTAGCTCCTGGTTGGCATCCATGCAGCAGGCACCATCTTGGCACCCACCATTCAGTGCACAAGCTTAGAAATCTACCCTCCTCAAAGAAGAAACCCAATGGAAAATAGAAGTTCCCACTTCTACCTAAGACTCACCTTCCCATTTCAGTGTCTTTTTCACCAGATAAATGGCACCAGAATACTCACCTCTTCTACTTAGAATCTCCAACAAGTCAAGCTGGTCAAATAAGTAGAACATTGGCATAAGAGTTTTGCTCCATGGGCACATGGGTTCCATTTCATGGCAGGGCCAACCCAGATCACAAAAGAACCCAACACACAGAGACACACCACTCCCCACCTCTGGGAAAGTCCAAGTTCTAATATTTCTTATGTCACATCCATATCAAAGAACAAGTGTTACAGAAGACTGGGAAAATTGGTTCTATAACATTCCCTGCTATAGACATCACTAAAAGCAAGGTCCATGCACTCCACTTTATAGGAAAATAATAAGCTCTAGACTAGGAGCTCTGGTAGCATAATGTCTAAGGCACTTGACTGCTAACCAGAAGGCTGGCGGTTCAAACCCACCAGCCACTCCTCGGAAGGAAGATGGGGCAATCTACTTCTGTAGTGATACTGCCTCGGAAACCCAAGGAGGGGTCGCTATGAGTTGGGTCTCACTCGACGGCAAATAACAACAACAACAGACTAGCACATTCTCAGTCACCTACTTCATCATCTCTGGGAGCACCAAAGTTGCAAAAGTGTGATTCCTACCCACAGGATAAGCCAAGAGCAGCCAGCAAGTGGCTCCATTCCCCCAGATCTGAATATTCAGGATAAAACCTACACCCAGACACTTAGCAATGCCATCTTCTCCTCTGTTTAATTAGCAGTCATGTGACCATGAATGGGCCTCTATTTTTTCACCACTTTCACAGAAGGGATTTTGGCCTCAGGAATACCCTCTGACCCCAGAAAAGACATGAACCAGTACTTATTCACAGAGCCTGGCCAACTTGGCTCCTCATCCCCCTGAAGGCAGAAGGTGGGGATCAACCTCTGTCCCAGTACTTACCTCTCTGCCTACTTTGCAGCTCCTGGGAGCTCCATGGTAGGACTCAGGACAGGTTCCCCTTCTCCTCCCTCATAGGCACTCATGCAGGGCCCTGAACACAGTGCATATTCAGTAAGTGCATCCTGTACAGAATTAAATTTCATCAAACCTAGTTGTTGTTGGGTGCAGTGGAATAGATTCCAACTCAGAGTGGCCCCATATGACAGAATAGAGCTGACCCAGGGGTCTTCTTGGCTGTAATCTTTAGGTGGCTTTATAGTTTTATCTGAGATGTAGCTAATTGAGAGCTTTCCATCATGCCACCCATTCTTTGAGCTATTTATTGAGATCTGTTTTGTGCCAGGTACTATGCAGACATGAGGGAGAGAGCAGTAAGCAAGATAGACAAAGCTCCTACCTTTACGGAGATTACAGGCCAGCAAGGAAGACAAATAATTGCAAAACACACACACACACATTAATTCACAGAGAAGATTATATATGGGGGGGGGGCGGACAGAGAGAATACAATATGTATGTGCTAATAAGGAGGTGGGTCAGGTCTGAGATCTGAGGAATAGTAGAATTTGCCCAGGTGATGGGGAAACTATTATTCCAGGCAGAGAAAACTTAAATCTTATGCAAAAGTGCTCAATACCTAAAGTTCAAAACAGGTAAAATTAATCTGTGGCAAGGTTTCTCAGCCTCAACATTATTGACGTTTGGGGCAAAATAATTCTTTATTGTGGTGCCTGTCCTTTGCATTTTAGGATTTTTTACAGCATCCTGTTTTTAACTCACTAGACATCAGTGGCATCCAGTTGTGACAACTAACAATGTCTCTAAATTGTCCCTGGATTAAGAACCACTGAAGTATGGTACTAGAAGTGAGGATAGGGTTTACCCTTAGTAGGGGGATAATGACTGGGGAAAGGGGCCTGGAAGAACACCTAGGGTTCTAGTGATAATCCATTTCTCTATCTAAGTACTGGTTGTATGGATGTATTCACTTTGTGAAATTCATTGAGCTGTACCCTTATGATTTGTGTACTTTTCTATATGAGTGTTTTAATCCAATAAAGCTCATGTTTTAAAAAACTTCATATATATAGAAAAATCAATGAACCTGCCACCGCTTCCAAGAATTAAAGTACTTGAAAAGGTGAGAGAAAGCCAGTGGTTTAAGGACAGTGGGAAAGATGATTCCTTTATCCAATGGTAAAATGAGAAGCAACTGACAAGAGTAAAATAATCAGGTCTACATTTCTGAAAGATCAATCTCAGTCTAATGCCTAGCTATCAGTCTAGAGACAATGAGTCAGTGGAGATGAGGATAGCAAGAACTCTATGGTGAATCTTTTGATTGGCCATTTGAGACATCCAGATGAGAGCTGGTGATAGTTGCAACTAATACGTGCAATGGAAATAGAAAAAAATACTTAGATTAAATCGTAAGAACTGGATCATTGTTTGGATGTAGGGGCTTTGGAAATAGGGCAATGTCATAAGCAATTGTGTGGTGGTGGAGCCATCCTGAGAAAGAAGTAGGTTCATTGAAAGAAGAGGATTTTGGTTCTTTGCCCAATAGGTATAAATTGTCTGAGAAGTCAAAGTGAAGAGGTTGGGAAAGCCATTTGATAAAAAGTTTATAGCTCAGAGGAAAGGCTTAAAGTCAAATGGTACCTGTAGCCATGGGAGTGGCTGGAGAGATTGCCAAAGGAGAAATAAAGGGATGAAAAGCAAAGGGAGCCTAGAACTGAGACTGAGTAACTAAGAAAGAGCAGCCTGCAAGGCATTAAAAAAAGCAGGGAAGTGAGACATAGTAGAAATCAAGAAAGGAGTGTTTCAATATGTAAGAAATGTCAAGCAAGTGTCAATTGAATTTAACATAATGGAGGTCATTAATGATGTTAGCAAGAGTCATTTCAATGGTAGGATGAGGAAAATCCACTTTACAGTGGGTTAAGGAGTGAATGGGAGACTGTGGTTGTACACAACTATTTTGAGAAATTTAGCCTGAAAGTGAAAAGAAGAAGGAAAAGAGAAAGAAGTGGAAGCATAGCTGGAAGGAGATGTGGGTTCAGGAAGATTTCTCTTTGATTTAGAAAAACCTAGGTCATTAGAGACTTAGCTACGGAGCTAAGAGACAAAGAGTCATCTATGTGGATATGACAGTTATCTAGGATAATGGCCAAAAGCCATGCTCATCAGTAATGAAGCTTAAAGATCAGGAGGCTAGCCATTGAGGAAGAAGTAAAGGCGAGCTAGCCAAGTGACACAAGACTCAATGAAAAAGGAATTTTAGAAGACGCAGGAAGAGTAACAGTCTGGAAGTGGCAGTGGGGAACATGAAGGAACACAATCCTGCCCCCCATCTGTGGAATACATGAGGTGGGGGAGAATGAGAAGCCATCAGGTAGGGGATATTGGCAGATCAAGGCAGGTGAGCTCCATAGTGCTCAGAATAAGGGTTTGAGAGGAATATGAAGGATGGAGAATGGGATGGGCTCAAGGGGTTACAGAGCAGTAAGACTTTAATTGAATGGAAAAGAATGAGAGCCATACTAGGAACTTTTTTAAAACATCATTAAATAGCCAGATACAAATGTTCCTTTGGTTTCCTAGGCCACTCTGCATCCCTCTGAGAATGTCTGTGACCAAGATGACCCCATACTCTGTACTTGTTTTTGTTTATGTATCTGTGCGGTCCTAGGAATGAAGAGCAAAAATTTCCAGGAATAGGTTACACCATTGCACTTAACTTTACCCTCAGCATAGTAGTTCGAATCAATAATTCCACGTTTCTTGAACTCTTGAACTCTTGCTATGTGCATGGTACTACAGGAACACAAAGTTGAATAATACATGGCCCCTGCCCTCAAATAACTCATTGACTGTCTAGTAGAGAAGAAAAGAAGCATACATAAATGATTAAACTCAAGACTGATTCTGTAAAGGCTATGGGTCAAAGAACACACTGAACCGTGAGGGGTGATGTGATTAAGGAAAACTGGAGGAAGTACAACTTGAGAGAGATGGATCACTTGGGGCTATTGGAAACTAGATAGCCATAAGAGGGAATTGGAAGGGCGTAGCCAATGGCGGGAAGAATAGAGCAAAGGCAAAGTGCAGTGACTTCAAGGGACTAGGAAGGGTGAGTGAGTATGTCTTGAAATGGAGCAATGAGGTAGAATCAACTGTTGTTGTTGTTATGTGCCGTCGAGTCGGACCCAACTCATAGCGACCCCTCCTTGGGTTTCCAAGGCAGTATCACTGCAGAAGTAGATTGCCCCATCTTCCTTCCAAGGAGTGGCTGGTGGGTTTGAACCACCAGCCTTCTGGTTAGCAGTCTAGTGCCTTAGGCACTACGCTACCAGAGAATCAACTAAGAGTGGAATTTTGAAAGAGGTCAGGACAGGACTTGGCTTCTGTTTGGATGTTGAGCAAGAGTGATAAAAGAGACTTAAAACCCATTCCATCTCTCCAGATGCATAGTTTCTGTTGTCCCAGAGGCCATGATAATCACTATCTCTTGTTTTCTCAGAACAAGTACCAAGGCTTCATCTTTGACATTGTGACTAGACAAGCTTTTGATGTCACAATCATGGTCCTCATCTGCCTCAACATGATCACTATGATGGTGGAAACTGATGACCAGAGTGAAGAAAAGACAAAAATCCTCAGCAGAATCAACCAGTTCTTTGTGGCTGTCTTCACCTGCGAGTGTGTCATGAAGATGTTCGCCCTGAGGCATTACTACTTCACCAATGGCTGGAATGTATTTGACTTCATTGTGGTGGTTCTCTCCATTGGGAGTAAGTGGGCAATACACATGGTGGGAAAGCCTAGCTTCCACTTTGGGTTGTATAGCCCATTCTTTTTAAGACTAAAGGGGCAACCAACAAAGTATTTAATACATGTGATATGTTAGAGGAGCCCCATATTTGCTGTTTTCCAAGAGCAGTAGATTTAAAATGCACATACTCTCTCAGTGCAATGAAGAATTTTCATTGGTCTTGGCCATGCTGTCATGAAATATATTCAGGCACTTACTATGTGCACAGCTCATGGCCAGCCCTTGGGGACTGACAGCAAATAATCACTTCTCCAAAGATCCTAAAACTATAAGATGATAAAGTTTTCAGTGGGCTTTGCCTTTATGCCCTTCAAAAAAGAGGGTGGGAGGTAAGATGTGAGGTGGGTCGTAAGAGACTTTCTAGGAAAGGAAGTGGTTTTCCATCAGAGTGAGGAAAGACCAGGAGATTGTTTGAGCAGTTGTTAACTTGAGTATCTGCAGCCAAATCTCTATACAATTATCTACTTAGGGAATATGAGTGATATCAAAGTCAATGGATCAATGACAAGAGATCAATACTACTGTGGCCTAGTCTGAGTGTTGTTGAGTAACAAGCCCAGTATTTGTGAGTCAGTGATATTCAGAGAATGCCAATAGTCACAGTCTAAGGTGGGAAATGGAACCATCATAATTTAGTACTTACTAAGCACTGGATGGGCTCTTTGAAACCTCACAACAGCCTTGTGAAGGAGATGTTATCCTCATTTTATACAGTTAAAACTGAGCCTCAGAAGGATTAAGAAAGCTGCCCAAGATTACAGTTTGTATAGGGGGAGATGAATGTGGACTAGACTGTTCTTCCAATGAACTAGCTGACTCCCATGGACAAGCAAGAAACTGTCCCTGGACTTCTTATAGTTTAGCTGAAGTTTGACCCTATGAAGACCAAACCCAAGCTCACCAGTTCATCATTTCATCTTAAATATATATGTAGTATCTTGACTTGCTTACTTCTCTGTCTAGACTTACCTGTAGGTTTGATTTTCCATTGATTTAACATCAGCAGCTAACAGTTCCTAAATACAACTTGACAGCATTAAATCAATCTCTCCACCCTGGTGTTGAAACTCAACCTTGGTTTTTTTACTGGGTTGTTGTTTGTTTGTTTTGAGGCAGGGAAGGAGGCAGCTGTTAATTTGTTTTGGTTTGGTTGTTGCTGGTTTTTGCCTTCCAAAATGAGAGACTCTAAAGACCATTTTGATTTTATATTAGAGAAGGGAGCTTGCTTACTGACTTTCCATATTATTAATATAAAAATAAAAATGTACCCAAAGCACTTAATTCTATGATGAGAACACTCTAACTACCAACTCCCATGACTTACACAGTAGCATTATCCATTGGGCAGAAAACCCCTATAGTTTGGAAAATAGCTTGCCCATCTCTCCATCCTACTGTCCTCCCTGCCTTCCTTCCTTCCTACCTTCCTTTCCCTCAGCAAAACATTGAGGGATCTAATTGTTACAAGTATGGGCACTCGTTCTCCCCTGAAGTAGGATCCTGGGACAGCTAATTGAGATGTAGACCACTGGGCTGGCAGAATCTTAAGAGATTATATATAGATACATGATGTACCCCCATCACATGGGAAAATGTCCCAATTAAACTGGACTTTAAGGTAGGGGCTTTCACAAAGATTTTATAAGCTTCAAAAATACAATGATCTCCAAAGTTTCTTCCAAATTCCTTATACCTTCCAACACTATACTGTGATCACCTATATTCATATGGCAAAAGGGAGGAGGAAAAGTAGGAGAAGAGGATCAAGGGGACTTTGCCAAGAAAGAGCACCCTACAGCACCCCTCACCATTTAACCTGAGAGGTTTTGAATCTTACCAAAGGCTTTGCCTTATCCTTTGATCTCAATAGGCCTCTGCAGGTCCCCAAGACCAAGCTTTAAAAATCTTCAATTTAGCCACTATATAGGGAAACACTTGTATTATTCATCCTTTTAACCTTGTTCATAGTTGGGGTAAGGGGTTGTAACTGACCCTAAACAAACCCATCTCCAGGCACTAACATAGTGTTCAAACACAGCTGGAAATGAAAGAAACAAATATAAGCCATTATGCAGACAGCTGGCCACTCAAAGCCATCCTGCCTTAGCTGTCAGCACATTCCCTGACTCCTCAGGCCCCCTTATAATTAATACCAGCCTCCGTACAATTAACCACAGGACTATGTGCCAGGAACTGAGTTAATCTTCACAGCAGGAGATAGGGAGATGAATCATAGGGGGTCCTGGACTTCATAGAGCAGAAGACCAGGACGGAAGGAAAAGAATGACCCAAAGGCTATATTCTCAGGGAAAATCAAGTTCTGTGTCATAGATGAAAACAGACAAAAACTGTGAGCATGTGGAATAAAGGATTGTGACCATGGAGGTTGACTAAGAAGAAAATATTCCAGGTAGAGGTAAAAATAAGAACATGGTAAGAAGGATGAGATTTATATGAGGAAGAGAGGATTTGTGCAGTGAACATTTACTGTTGCCCTCCTTTGTGCTGACCACTACGCCAGGTTCAGAGGGCCTAGAGTCCTTCAACAGGAGTGAGCACATGGAGGTCCATAGTGAGCAGAGATGAGGGCATGTGATCCCAGCCAACTTTGTCAGATCTCATGGTTGGAAGCACTAATTATATAATGTTCCCCCTCTATTAAAGGCCTGGCACTTTCTGCAATCATGAAATCTCTTGAAAGTTACTTCTCTCCAACACTCTTACGTGTCATCCGCCTGGCCCGAATTGGCCGCATCCTCAGACTGATACGAGCAGCCAAGGGGATCCGGACTCTGCTCTTTGCCCTGATGATGTCTCTGCCTGCCCTCTTCAACATTGGGCTGCTTCTCTTCCTCGTCATGTTCATCTACTCCATATTTGGCATGGCCAGCTTCCCCCATGTGAGGTGGGAGGCTGGCATCGATGACATGTTCAACTTTCAGACCTTCGCCAACAGCATGCTGTGCCTCTTCCAGATCACCACGTCGGCCGGCTGGGATGGCCTCCTCAGTCCCATCCTCAACACGGGGCCCCCATACTGTGACCCCAATAAGTCCAGCAGCAATGGGACTAAGGGGGACTGTGGAAGCCCAGCTGTGGGCATCATATTCTTCACCACTTACCTCATTATCTCCTTCCTCATTGTGGTCAACATGTATATTGCAGTAATTCTGGAGAACTTCAATGTTGCCACAGAGGAGAGCACGGAGCCCTTGAGCGAGGATGACTTTGACATGTTCTATGAGACGTGGAAGAAGTTTGACCCGGAAGCCACTCAGTTCATTACCTTCTCTGCCCTGTCAGACTTTGCAGACACCCTCTCTGGCCCCCTACGAATCCCAAAACCCAATTGGAATATATTAATCCAGATGGACCTGCCATTGGTCCCTGGAGATAAAATCCACTGTTTGGATATACTTTTTGCCTTCACCAAGAATGTGCTAGGAGAATCTGGGGAGTTGGATTCTCTGAAGGCAAATATGGAAGAGAAGTTTATGGCAACTAATCTTTCAAAGTCATCCTATGAACCAATAGCAAACACCCTGCGGTGGAAGCAAGAAGACATCTCAGCCACTGTCATCCAAAAGGCCTATCGGAGCTATGTGCTACATCGTTCCACGACAGTCCCCAAAGCCTCAGGTGTGCGAAGGGCTGAGGAGGAGGCTGTGTCACCCACAGATGAAGGCTTTGTTACACTGATGGCAAATGAAAATTGTGTTCTCCTAGACAAATCTGAAACTGCATCTGCCACATCTTTCCCACCATCTTATGACAGTGTCACCAGAGGCCTTAGTGATAGAGCCCACATGAGCACATCTAGCTCAATCCAGAATGAAGATGAAGCCACCAGTAAGGAAGCCACTGCCCCAGGCCCCAGTGAGGACAATCCAGCATGACTATATCCAATTCTGATGTATCCTTCTAACTGTGACAATTCTTTCCCATTACAGATGGCGCCCAACTACCACCTCACCAATGCATGCCACTGGTCACAGTGTCAAAACTGGCAGGGACTGCAGTTGGTGCCCACCTTTAGAGAAGCTCCCAAATACCAACAGCAGTCATAACCAAGAGCATCTTCACTGTGACTTCACTTTTTAATATCAATGTCAAATGATGGATTTCCTTAATTTTCAGAACACATCTTTGGTCCTTCTATTTTCATTGTGACCAGAGCTTACATTTACCCAGACCAATTTCTCAGGATCAGAACTTCCAGGGATATATGGCAAGGATGTCACTGAAGGTCCAAGGTGGTCCTCTGTAATGTTGCATAGAGATTGGCAATATTATTTAGGATTTTGCATGAATGCATGTTGAGAGCTTCCAGGCAACTGCTCTGGCCCAGAGTGACACTCATGGTCTATCTCATGAAACGCCTTTGAGATATCCATTAAAGTTAATATTTTTAAAGGTATGTCAAGACTAATGTTATATCTTAAAACCATTTTACTTTCTTAATTATGTGATACTGGCATGTGTCATGAATCACTTTTCCCTGCCTTTCAGGGTTCCTGATATTTTGCAGTTTGAGCTTCAGGCTGAGTGGGGTAGGAAGGAGCACTGTGTTGGGAGCTGGAGAAGTGGATTCTAATTTCAACTCTTTCAGTGATTCCTTGGCTGACATTGGTCCAAGTTCCTTCCTCTCTCAACCTGGGCTTTCCACTTCTAAAACTGGGCGAGGGGCGGGGCAGGACTGAATGGATGCCCTTGCATCTCATGTTGTATAACTCAATGATGCCCTGCCCTATTTAAATAAGAAAAATAATCTCTTTTAAGGCTGCAGTGGGCTATCCTTTCACATGTGCAGTTAAAAAAGCACCTTTCAGATACTTTCCAGAGTCTGTTTCATACCTCATAGTCAGATTTTGAGAAAGAGAGTTTTCACATTCCTTTTGGGCTAGACCTCCATAATTAGCAAAATCAAAAGAAAAATGACAATTTGAGATGATCTGGAAGGTAAAATGTATAGTCAATAGTTTCTTCAATTCATCCTACAAATGTTATTTGTTGTTGTTGTTGGGTACCACAAGGCAATTCCAATTCATAGTGATCCAGTGTGACAGAGTAAAATTGTCCCATAGGGTTTTCTAGGCTGTAATCTTTATGGAAGCAGATTGCCAGACTTTCTCCCATGGAGCTACTGGGTGGGTTCAAACCTCCAACTTTTTGGTTAGCAGTCAACACTCAACCATTGATCTACCAGGGTTCCTTCAAGTGTCCTTAAGCCCTATTATATACCAGACACTGATCTAAGCACAAAAGATAAAATGGGAGTTATGCCTCAAAAGATGAATTGGGGTTAATCCAATAATTGGGATGAGGGTGATCAGAGAAGAGTAATCCACTGCCATCAAGTCAGTTCTGACATTGCAACACTTGTGGACAGAGTAGAACTCCCCATAGGGTTTCCAAGAGTGTAAGTCTTTACAGAAGCAGACTGCCTCATCTTTCTCCCTCAGAGCAGCTGGTGGGTTCAAAACACCTACTTTTTGGTTCACAGCTGAATGCTTTAAGCACTACATCACCAGAAAAGAGTATTCCATGCCAAAGGCAGAGGGTAGGTGTTGAGATGGAGAGCAAGGAATTCATATGCTAAAACCTAGGATATAAGGGATCATAATGACAGCTTTGATCTTTTGTTAACTCTTGGGATATTCCCAACCACAGTCACAAAGATCAGGTCAATTTGTTGGATATATATTCAATCATCTCCTAAGATTTTCCATTTGTTGTTGTTGCTAGGTGCCATTGAGTCGGCTCTGACTCATAGTGACCCTATGTACAACAGAACAAAACACTGCCCAGTCCTGGCCTAGTCCCATGATCCCTGCTTATGCCTGAGCCCATCATTGCAGCCACTGTGTCAATCCATCTTGTTGCGGGCCTTCCCCTTTTTCGTTGACCCTCCACTTTACCAAGCATGATATCCTCCTCCAGGGAATGGTCCCTTCTGACAACATGAGTAAAGTAGGTGAGACTAAGTCTGGCCATTCTTGCTTCCAAGGAACATTCTGGGTGTACTTCTTCCAGGACAGATTTGTTAGTTCTTTTTGCAGTCCATGGTACTTTCAGTATTCTTCACCAAGATTTTCCATTTATACAATTACAAAGCCTAAAGCTGATCTACCTCAGGTTTCCTGGGATCTTGATCTCCCTTCTTCATCACTGTTGCCCTATCAGAGGTTAAAGGGGTTTTCAAGATGCTTGTTGGGGTTTGCCAGTACCCACAGATGCAAGTTAATATTATGATGATGGGATAGCTGAGGAAACAGACCAACACAGCACAGATCAGCTGTTCTCTGAGTGCCAGGTTTGTATCTGAATGACTTTTCCTCTCTAATTACACTGAACCAGGGGCACAGACATTGTGTAGTTCCTTCAACATCTAAATCCCATGCAGTCAATGACAATTACACCAGGATAATAGCCCAAGTGTTTATTAGATAACTGGTTGGACAGAGGACAAAGAGCTTAGGGACAGATTTACTTTCAAAATATTATGTGGAAGAATTAAATGTGCCCAGCCATCAGGCTTGGTTTATTAAGAAGATGATATTATCCTTGAAAGTATTCTTATATCTTTTGTCCACATTTATTTCTACACATATGCATTTCCTAAATTATAATGGGAACCATTGGAAAAAGTGATCCAATATACATATATTAACATTATTCAGAGTTTTCAGAAATGTATCCAATGCAAATGTAAGATTAGCCCTTGAAAACTTCACTAGCTCCAGTTCCAAAGTTCACCTGATGGACCAGTTGTAAAGTACACACTAGACTTCTAAGGGAGCAAATGCAAGAGGTGTAGAACAGATGTAGACACAAAGCCAAATTCTCAACCTCAACCATAAGAGATGTCAATAGAATATTTCTGGCCCCAAATATGTGAGGATATCTTAGCATGCTGAAGGGAGACAAGAGAAGGAACAGAGGTGCTGATTGTTTGAATATCTGAAGCCTGCAAGTTTTTTAATACATGCCTCTAGCATACTCTCCTGACTTTTCATAACATTAAACTTTGTGATCAAGATCAGTCAGGAACATTCAGCTACCACAAATGGGTAATCCATTCCCATTAAGTCAACTGCAACTCATAGCAACCCCCATTGGGTTTCCAAGGCAGTAAATCTTTATGGAAGTAGATTGCCCCATCTTCCTTCCACTGAGTGGCTGGTGGGTTTGAACCACCAAACTTCTGGTTAAGAGTCAAATGTCTAAGTGTAGGAAAATCTTTGTAATAACCATTTGCCTTAAAGCAAAGTTGAAATAACTTTCCTAACTGCTGGGGATGCAAAATGATTACGATAGATCATTAACCTGGAACTGAACACAGCCTAAGGGATGGACTAGAACTGCTTACAAGTAACATGTACATTGGAAGGAGGGGAGTAGATGAAGGATTCTAAAGCTTTATTATTATTCAGGAAAATTGTAAACGTTTTTTATTAGTCTTAGACTTTGGTAAAGTTAACAGTGCATGACTTATTTCCTAAAGTTGCTCTAACAGAACAAAACCAGAGTATGTAATTTCCAAACTAGGAAAAGGGGACAATCTGCTAAGAAAGAATAAGTAGAGTAATGTTGAATTGGCAAATGTTGTGAAATATAATTTTTACAATAATAAAAAGATAGGAAAGGGGAGAAAAGAGAAACATAGAGTGAGAGGGACAAGTAGAAAAGACAGGGTAATGTAACAGACTTAAACACAACTATATTGGTAATTATATTAAATGCAAATACATTAAACACTTCAGAAAATAGACAAAGGTGATCAGGCAAGATTTAAAATTTTTCAAATAAATGATGGTAACAGAGAGATACACCTAATATTTAAGGTTACCAAAATGGAAAAAAAAAAAAAAAATCGTAGAAAAGCATTAAAAAAACTCACTGCCATCGAGTTGGACCTACCTAACTCATAGTGACCCCTCCTTGGGTTTCCAAGGCGGTATCACTATGGAAGTAGATTGCCCAACCTTCCTTCCGAAGAGTGGCTGGTAGGTTTGAACCACCAGGCTTCTGGTTAACAGTCAAAATGCCTTAGGTACTACACCACCAGAGCTCCTATAGAAAAGCATATGCCATGTAAATATTAATCAAGCAGCTAAAATATACATGTTATTTTCAACTACTTATGGAATATTACAAAAATAGTCCATAGGCCATAGAATAAGATTCTAAAGATTTCAAAGGATTAAAACAACAGAGTGTGTTTTCACAAGATAATACAATTTAGCTGAGAATCAATAACAAGGGGAAACTAACACACCATCGTGTATTTAGAAAGTAATAAAAGCATTTCTAACAATTTATCAAGAAGTCATTATGAAAGTAGAGAATGTTTTTAACTACATAAAATAGCATATCTAAAAACTTGCATAATTGCAGCTAAAGCAATATTAATAAGGAAATGTATAATTTGAAATGAGTGTGAGTATGCATATATATGTGTGTATCTCAAAAGATAAAGGCTGAAAATTAATAAGCATTCATTTCATTAATTCAGAAAAAATAATTGAACTCAAAGAAAAGAGAAGGAAGGAAATGAAGATATAAACAAAAGATGATAAAAATAAAACCAATAAAGCCAAAAATCAGAGTTTCCTTTAGAGAAAAATATTAAAATGACAAGTATCTGGTAAAATTAATCACAAAAATGGCAAGAAAACAAAAATAACTAATATCAGAAATTATAAAGAGAACATCATCACAGATGCTATTGACATTAAACACATAAAAAACATGTATCTATAAACTTGAAAATGTAGCTGATATGGGAAAATTCATGTAAAAATATAAGTTTTCAAAACTGAAGAATAAGTAGAAAGCATAAATATTCTTATAACCATTAAAGAAAATGAGTTAATAGCTAAAAATTATCTATGCC